GACCTTACTCGCAAAGAGAGGTCAACACGTTGTTTAGGGGATTGCTATTGGAAGGAAAATCTCAATAAAGTTGTGACTTCAACTGTCAGATTTGAACTTGGGGGAAAATAATCAAAATAGACAAAAAACGATGTAATCATATTTGAGTTAGTGCGTTTTTTATTTCAGTCAAACAAACTATTCCCAAATTTTAGCCCAACCATCGACCGAGTTTGTTGACTGGAAATTCTAGTGGTACTTAGGGGTAATTGAGGACATCCGCTTAAAAACCGCCTGGCAGTACGCGTCTCAAAGTATTTTTAGTAACAACAGTTCGTGGCAAGCCCTGAATTTGAATAACAAACATCAAAGCAAAATATACTAGCGCGGTTGACATGTTTGTGATATTACCAGCTGTGCTTACGTCAAGTGACGGCAGTGTCGTTGTTCCAAATGGCGGCGATCGGTAGGGAAATCATACGATAGGCCTATTGTCTCGAGAAGATAACTCAGTTTGGAAAATGTATCAAGGATCAAGTGACAAGTCGTAGAGTTATATCATTGAAATATATACTGTCAGTATATATTTCTTTGGCTATATTATAGTTTCTATATATATATAGCTCTGCCGAGGTTTTCCGGAATCTGTCGAAGTTTGCCGAGTGAAAAATAGAATTCAACTCATTGTTAAAAATATAATTTGCGGGTCACGGAAAGATAACTCTGTTTGGAAACATGGTTTGGTGCAGAGGAGAAACCGAAGTTGGTGTATATTGTTAACTGTCATCAACTGTCGTTAATAATTACTGGAAGCAGTCATATAAGGTGGATATTTGATACCATATCCATTCTGGTGTTTACAGGAATTTCAACTGTGTGACCCCATAAAGGCTGACTGGGTTCTTATGAAGTAAAATAAGCTATTTATATCTAGATCAGAATTTTATTTAACAGCATTAACAACACATAGAGAAAAATACTACATATACAGTTAAAGTATCTTATTATTTTTATTTAATACATTTATAGAGAGCAAATTTCACCAAAATGTTCAGATGAGTTTAATAATTGTAAAGTAAAAATACAATTTTATGATTAAAAAAGCTAAAAATATGTATAAATTCAATTATGAATTGATCTTCAAAAACTAAGCAAGATTAATTGTATATTAAGTATATTAACATGAAGATCCAGTAGATTGATAAACACTGTAATTATTGAAATATTACCACAGTACTAGAACATGCATTTAACATAATAAACTTACAATTGATATGCACGTAAAAAGGATCCAAAAACGTTGCAGGTTATATGCATTAACTAAATATTCATTATTTTTATTTGGAATAAGATTAAATGATAATGAATTTTGATTTTTGTAATACAGGATTTATTGTATTCTAAAAATAGATATATTTCTTTCCATGTACATCTTTGGACACAGGACTGCATTCTGGACATAGTATAGATATTGGGATCCGGTAACAACTTTGGTCTTAAATTTGACTCCAGCAAATTCAATTGTAACAATCTTTACCCTTTTTGTCAGCCAACCAGGTAGTGATTTTGATGCTGTTGTAATACAGTTGTTTAATTCCTGTGGGTTACAAAACTCTAATAGATTTGCCAATGCCAGTTTCATGGAAGAGGATTTCTGTACTTTTGGTTTGCTACAGTCTGGTTTAACAAGAGATTGACACATGTTCATATCAGAGCTCAACCGATCTGTTTGGTTTAGAGCATTCGATAGTAACTTGGATCTTTTGTCTTCTTTCAATTGTCGTTCTGATTTGAGTGCGATTTTCGTTTGCTTTACTACTCGTTTGATGGTAATACTTACATTTTTATTTAAGCGCGATTTCAAATTTATTGGTCCTGAAACATCTTCCAATTTGGGGGAATCTGTAGCAGAGAGTTGAAATAGATTGTCTTTGCATATGAATCGTTGAATAAGATATTTTCCAATTTCCTTTGTATCATCATCTAGGATCTCACGAGACAGCACATCCTTGTCAATGGCATACACATTGCGTGGAATGTTGCAGGGGTGTGTTGAGAGTGCATCTTGTCTTAGAATAACCTCTGTGACTCGAAAAATATGTTTCATGTCTGTCTCAGTGAAGTTCCAAGATACACCATAAGAATCACTGTCGCTCTGTTGAACAGCATGAACAGCGTTGAATGAATCAATGAGTGACATTCTTCGTACAGCTGATTCTTGGGAAGATCCAGAGCGGAATCCCTTTAATGCGTCTTTATGGTCCATTTCGCGTTTGGTGTCACATGCAAAGTTTACCTGGCTATTTCCGATAGGAGTAGAGAACAGACATTTTTTCAAATTCTGGTGAAAGATCCCTGCTGTATAATGCTCTGTCAATAAGCGAGTACAATAGGGTGCATAAGAACTAGCTCCATTTAAGAATGAAAACCACAAAGATGACTTTACCGCTCCCAATAACAGACTGTAGCCATTCTCACCGCCAAGACGTTCTGCTAGTTTCACAGCTACAACTTCATTACAATGTATCATCATATCATAATGGAGAGCAAAAGTAGCATTTATTTTTCTCATTGTAACCATAAATTCGTCAATAGGAGTTTGATTTAGTTCATTCTCAACAAATAACTGTGCATCCGTGCTTGGTAGGTATTGAATAAATTTAAGTGTAAAAGCAAACTGAAGAGATTGAGAGAGCTTTCTAATATGCCGTGTAGCAGTATCAATGTGTTCAGTAGTTATCAATTTTGACCATTCTGTAGTTGTTTCGTCACGCATGACCATCAATAATTCCACCAATATCCTGCATAGCGATATGCACTAAACAAAGTATTGACCTTGGATTTTCTGAGATGAAGGAGTGGAAACTCGGGCAAAAATTTCTCATATTTTTTATTTTCCTTAATAAGGGACAGCAAATTAATACCAATTTTATTGTCTGGGCCAAAGAGAATTCTATCGAAAGAAACCGACTCGCTTTCAGTGTTTTTATCCATTCCAGCTTTTACAAGAATATCATCTAAGATTTCTCTTAGCTTATTGATATCATCATCTCTTCCACTTGCTGGGGGTGGATGCCTTGTAAGTAATGGAGGTGTGGTAAAATTTTTCAAAACCAAACATTGAAATTATAGATTGCTGCTCATGATCAGTTTCTTGAATCGTCAGTTGTTCCATGGATGTTTCTAAAAGGGAATCATCGAGGGTAATCCCAAGGTCCATAGAGTCATCTAAAATGTTACAGGTATCATGAACAATTTCGTGCAAATTATCGTCATTTGTGTACAATGGATAATTCGAGAACAAACCAACTGGAGATATCTGAAACACAAAAATAATGATTTTTAGAAAGTATATTAATACAAACTAGATTTTAAATCTTTGCAGTGTGAAATATTTTGAGTGGGACTATGTGTGGAATAGAACTGACTTAAACATTGCTTCCACACATTCATCATTTTGAAATAAGATATGTATGGTGAAATGTTACCTGGATTATAGGAATAGGGGATGAATCGTCTGGTGACTTCAGTTCTTCAACTGGTTCAACAGGTTTCAATGATGTACATTTTGGCACCATCTCTTGGTTGAATACAATGGCTACTTGAATGAACTTGTTTAGCCATGATGTCTTTGGAAATGTACAAGTGGTATCTGAAAATGTGTAAGATATTTATACTAGCTGTAGGAAGAACTAATAGGATTGTCATTGTCATCTGTCAAGAAAAAATAAATTTTGAAAGTAAAACCCTCATTAACTGCAAGTTTACAGGATCATATTCATATTTCTCTTGTTACCCAAATTTGTAACTCGGCCTATTCTTCAAATACAAAAAAAAAACATTCTTGAATGTAGACCTTAAGTTAAGGAAAATTGTTTCATGTACCTGGGCCCTAAACCGTTGTATACAATGGTATACTTTTCTAAAGAAAGGCTAAATATCCATTATTTATAGCTCAAGGAACAATTCTTTTCTTTTCAAATTTGCCAGATTGTTGATGTTAATGCACAGTAATAATCTTACCTTGTAACATTCTCCAAAGGCTATTATTTCCCCATCTACATATGTTGTTAAATATTTCTAAACTGCTTTCCTCTGAATGTGAAAGATTCAAAATGGTATCAAAAGCCTCTTCTTTGCTCAAAAATAGCCGCTTTTTACATGAGCAGTGTTGTGATCCATCACAGATATTCACATCATGCCAGTTTTCTGTTGCTTTAGAGTCTTTTGGCAACCCCTGGAGTGTTATTGGTAGCATGCACAGTTGTTTTGAGCGATGTTCTCCAGGATCGGGATCACTGTGATACTTCAGACGTACAAGATTATCCAACATCAAAATCAAGTGACACTGCCTAAGGCTAACCATTTGAGTCACATTACCAGCAAGAGTATCATATGTAATAGGGTACTCCTTGATATAGGTCTGGTAGTAGAGCTGATCATCCATTGACTTTGAAATAAGGTTGTTTTCAGCAAATGTCAGTGATGTTGTAAATCCATATTTACTTGTACTTATGCTGTGATAGTTCATTAAAAGTTTGTCTGTTATTTTTTGTTGGAAAATTCCAATGAAATTTTTGTTAAATGTATTCAATAGAACTTCATATACAGAGTACAATCGTTCGTATTTTTTATTGAAGAAATTTTCAGACAAGTGCTTGTGGTAAAGACTATCTTTGTTAATGAACATTTCAAGAATAAGTTGCATTTCCAATGGTACATCCAAATGAAATTCCTGGAGGATGTCGAAATTGGTGACAGACAAAGGCTTGGGCAGTGATATATCAAAACATGACTGGCATCTTTCCATTATTCCGTTGACACTAATTTCTTCTGGAACTACATTTTCTTGTAAAACGTTGCATAAAAACAATATATGTGTACTTAATTTATTTAGCCGGAGGTCGTCATAAAGACTAAATCTTGCAATATGACCATTTTTTTGCAGGTATGGTGTTAAAGAATTGGAATCAATGAACATAATATGATGACAATTCAACGAATGATATTTGTTGCATATGTTCAATATCATCTGTATTGTTAATTTGTTGGTTGGTGCTTCACAGTTACTAGTACAGCCGACAATAATGTCAACTGTATCTAAAAATTCCTGGATACCAGGACACATACATTTTACGCATGTAACTGATTGTATTTCAACAGGAAATATTGTTGTGACTGCGTTGAAAATTTGTGATTCTACAATAGAAGGCCTATGTTTGTTAATTGTGGATAATTGTATTTCTTCACTAACAGCATTTGATGTTATCCTTTGACGTCTCAATTTAATAGTTTGTTGGGCACTTTTTACAACAGATTTGCTTAGGTTTTTAGCTTCTTTTAGTGATTTGAGATAGTCCCAACGCCTTTTAATACTATCACCTACAGACTCACTGCACAAGCTTTGCGCAAAATGGTGCTCGAAAAAACATGTTCTTGACCATTCTTCATTTGTAAAAATAACTTTATATGAATGTTCAAGGAATGGAATTTTCAATTCATCAAGCTTCAGATATTTATGATCGTCCTTCCCAACAAGTAAATTTGATATTTCTTTGTAAAGATCTAATAGTGTACCTTGTGATTGAATTTTTGAGAAAAAATCTTTACTTATTTGGTTTCCAATGGAAAAACAATTTTCAAAGTCCTCGGAATGATTAAAAATATATTTTAGAATAGCCAAAGTACTTATACATTCTGTGCCACCAACAACTTTGATATGTCCTCCCTGGTATCTTTCTACTTCTCGTTTAATGTTATATTTCTTCAATAATTTAATCCTATCCTTTTCTGATTGATTGTTCTTAAGATATATTATAAAGTCATCCAAAATAATCCACAATCTGGAATCATTATCATCTCTTCTCATTGGCAATTCTCTTAATTTCAACATAATGAAATTCCAGTTAGAAAGGAACAGTACAATATAATATAAGCCGTCTGCTAGTATATCAAATGATACAATGAGCATTGGATATCTTTATATTATACAATATTAACATCGGTGTGAAATTTGATATTGTGTGCCAACATAGATAGCACATTCCTCCCACAACCAAAAAATATTGAAATACAATACATTTATAAAGATAAGATTCAGTGGGTCTATGGCCATGTGTTTTATAATAATGAGACAGTAGCTATAGGTGTTGACAGCATTAGAGATCTTACTGTAGCTCCATTGGAGCCAGAATTTTGGCTTGTGTGTAGTACTGTATTGTGCGTTTTATGTAGCAATAATTTCTTATTTTTATATAATCTTATTTCCAGCAGGTATCAGTGGGATATTTGACTGAACTTTTGAGAAAATGATGACCGTAGATTCAAGTTATGTTGCACCTTTTACATCGGCAACAGTGTTTCCAGAACAATCTCCTGAAGAAATGATGAGGTATGAAACTTGGAGACTGAAATCATTTGATGAATGGCCACCTGAAGCATATGACAAGGCACGACCTATGGCATTGGCTAAAGATGGTTTCTATTATACTGGTACTGAAGATATTGTAAAATGTTTTAGTTGTGGTGTACAAAAAGGACAGTGGATTTTTAGATCCAAACCAAATGTTGAACATCAAAGATTAAATCCAGAATGTCTGCACATACTTGGACAAAATGCCAGAAATGTTTCAGTTTACTTACCCAACTGTAAAGCTTATCAGAGATGTTTGGCATATCTGCATGATATTTTGTTGTCAGAAATGGCTCGTTTACAGACTTTTAAAGACAGTTGGCCTCATGGCAGTCCTTCTCCAAATGACTTGGCCAAAGCTGGTTTCTCCTTTACTGGTGCACCAGATAGAGTTCAATGTGTGTTTTGTAATGGTATTTTAAAAAACTGGCAGGATGTAGATATACCTATGATAGAACATAGAAAACATTTTCCTTACTGTCCATTTGTGTGTGGTCACCAAGTAGGTAATATACCAATAAATGTCAGAAGTTCTGTTAGTACAAGTTATAATGAAAGACTTGATGCAACTCAATCTCATGGAACAGGTGCCACTAATCAATTTACTCCAGTATCTGGTATTCATACAGAAAGACCACGTCATCCTAATTATGCTACTAAAGCATCCAGAATTGCTTCTTACACTATGTGGCCGAGTGGTCTTTCACAAACACCTCAACAGTTAGCCAAAGCTGGATTCTTCTATGCAGGTACATTTTATTTATTAATTTTAAATCTTTTCAATTTTCCTTCTTCAAATTCTCTTCAGATTCCTTCCATTTACACTTTTAATCATTTATTACAATCATAATTTTATTTCTCCATTGATGAAATGAAAATGTTGACACATTAATAGAATTTGATGAAACAAATTTTTTTAGGTTCTGGTGATGGTGTGAAGTGTTTTCATTGTGGTGGTAGATTAGTGACCTGGGAAAGAGGTGAAGATCCATGGCAAGAACATGCCAAATGGTTCCCCAAATGTCTATACTTACTACAAGTCAAAGGTGAAGCCTTTGTTCAACGATTACGCAATCCAAATAATGTAAGTGCTTTTAAAACTAAAACTGTTTTAAATGTCATAAATTTAACAAATTATTACCATGCTGTAATTGATTTCAGTGCTGGTTGATGAAAACTAGCTCAGATGTTCTCTTTGTTTTTATCTATCTCTATTCAAAATTAGTCATTCATTTTATTCTAACCATCTCTATACCATTAATCACATTGGTGTATGCAGGATTTCATAAGGAAGGCACAACATATTTTAATTTGATGTTAAAGAGAGGTTCTAGTAAATGGTGCCAGTGAACACTTTTTGTGAAGTTATATGCCCCAAAAACTATATAATACCAGGGCCCTGTTTCACAAAAACTTAATTCTCCTTAAAACCATCTTAAACTAAAATTTCATCCTACATGTAACTTAAGATAGATGCATTTCACAAAACGATTTTAGACATTTCGATAAAATAAGTAAATTATAATGGAGTGAAGGAGAGAATTAACACACTCGTGGCCATTGTATAAATATATGACATGCGCATGTAATGTACACGTCTGTGTGTGTGAAATGGCTTTATTCAATATCGGCTTCCACCGAAATGAATTGGGCGACATAAAGTAAATGAATATTGTCACAGCGGAGATTTTTCTACAGCTGCGCAAAATCCTGTAAGAATATTCCTTGGTTGAATGCATGTAAATGTACAGTATTATATGTATACATAATTTGTAAAATAACAAATACATGGCGCTGTCACTTTTGTGACCTTCACAGTGTACCCCCTCCCACCCATATCGTTTTAATGCGTCATAATACATTATTATCATATACCGGTGACAGCCAGGATTTGCTAAATACTTTTCGCTGAGTAACACAGCGTAAGAATATAGTCCCAATCTTTTGGCGCGTTTCTGACCACGTGACTTACCGTTAAGCACACTGTGGAGTGATTTATGGCACTGTGCCGTATGGATGGTTGATTTAGATTAGCTGAAGCTGCGAGTAATGAAGTAATGTGAAAAAGCTCATTGTATACAATTTAAAGTTTGGATTTAATAGCAGCCAGTAATTGATGGATTACATCTAAGTTATAGACAAAGATGTAATGATACGTTTAAAAAATTGTAAGTTGTTCATAGTTTGCATACATTTTGCCCCAAAGTAATGCATGGACAGTGCGTTAAAAAAAAAATTCTAAACGATACAGAATGCCGGTAAACGTTTTCCCGGGATTACCTAACTCATTTTGTTGTTATTCAAACCGGCCTGTACATTATACATGTACACGTTTTCACGGCAGCATTACTATATTACAACTCCTTCAATTTATTATAGACAATATTAGTTCGATCCTAGCTTAAGGTAGGCTCGCGAATTCCTGGCGGGAAGCATTGCAAAACACGATGTATTCTTAGTGAAACACGGTGTATTCTTAGCGAAACAAGGTGTATTCTTAGCGAAACAAGGTGTATTCTTAGCGAAACACAGTGAATTCCTAGAGAAACATGGTGAATTCCTAGTGAAACACGGTGGATTCCAAGCGAATCTTAGAGAAAAATCGTCGCGGAATCAAGCTAAATTTCACCGCAAAATCTAAGAGAATTCGGAGAGGTTTCGGTCCCAAAAATTTGGGAGGAACTGTAAGTTATTGGACACGTGTTGATCCTCTATATATAAAAGAATTAAATAGAAACATTTTATTTATTTTATTGTTCTAGTTATCGGAAGGTGATCACATTGCTGGAGGGGTAAGTATATGCAAAATATATTCTAACAAATGGCAAAAAACCCGCAGGCAGAATGGACATGGGGGTGGGGGAGAGGGGTATCTTAAACTGCCAAATATCATTTATTTAACAAAAGAAAAAGTCTGAATTACTGCATGACATTTCTTCCTAAATAGAACAAATCAAAGGAGGTCCAATGGTTTTGCAAACTGAGTAACAACACTATTTGTAAAATATTGAAAATAGTGACCATTTCGTAAACAGTCCTGTGGAATGAAATGAAACGGCGTGTAGACTAAAACCTTTCTGCACCATCTGAGCTTATGAAGACGCGCGTCCACCCATGCAGTGTTCCATGAGGCAAATTTTGTCCGACAGCATCTTTTCCACATTCCAACTGCCATGCTAACATGTTCACATTTTGACCTCAGGTTTTCGTTCCATTGGTTCGACTAAGTACCTTTTCTTTGCCAGGCTCTGCGTCTGCGCCCTGTAACATTGACAAGGGAAAACCCAGATGAACTTTCTCGGCCTACACTGGAATGGAAAGCAAGACCTTCTGGTCAGTGAGCAAACATCTGACTCACTGAACCACAATGTGCATATCTGTTATCAACCCCATCAAACAATTTCCAAAATCCAGGTGGAAGAAACTATGCAGAGATTGTTTGCCACCGATGAGTCAAACATAGTTATTAATAATAATATAATTCTGCTGTTTTGTTCGTTTAAACTAGCCCATTCTTCACGAAGGTCTTGTTTATGATGACCTTTGAAATATATAGAGATATCTGGATTGTATTGCCTTTAAATGATTTATCACATGCTTCTTTTGGGTGGCATTTGAAAATGGGTTGTATCACAATATCACATTTGTTGAAACTTACGGAATTTGTCTATTTTTATTGCAGAGTTTGGCAGATGTATCATTATGTGACAGAAACATAGGTAAATATATTTATTTATTTTGTGATATAAAATCAACATTTTTTTTTTAGTAGTTAGAAATAATTTTTTAGATGCCCACACTTCAGTGTGGGCTTATTATGTTGTCACCCTGTCCTCGGTCTGTCAACAATGTAATTGGCTGGTGATCGGATAGAGGCAACAGTTTTTGACGGGTTCATTTCCAAATTAGTGTGAAGCATTGTAGTAATGAGAGAACAAACCCTGTCTCAGTAATAATGATAGGCCTACTGTAACACACCTTAGCACATCTTTAAGGGAGGATAGAAATATTTTGTTGTCAGAAATGGCTCGTTTACAGACATTTAAAGACAGTCCTTCACCAAATGACTTTGCTAAAGCTGGTTTCTCCTTTACTGGTGCACCAGATAGAGTTCAATGTGTGTTTTGTAATGGTATTTTAAAAAGCTGGCAGGATGTAGATATACCTATGATAGAACATAGAAAACATTTTCCTAACTGTCCATTTATTTGTGGTCACCAAGTAGGTAATATACCAATAGATGTCAGAAGTCCTGTTAGTACAAGTTATGATGAAAGACTTGATGCAACCCAATCTCATGGAACAGGTGCCACTAATCAATTTACTCCAGTATCTGGTATTCATACAGAAAGACCACGTCATCCTAATTATGCTACAAGTGGTCCATCACAAACACCTCAACAGATGTTCCCCAGACGTCCATATTATTTACTACAGGTAATAGTTGAAGCCTTTGTTCCACGATTTCAAAATGAAAATATTGTAAGTGCTTTTTAAAACTAAAACTGTTTTTAAATGTCATAAATTTAACAAATCATTACCATGCTGTAATTGATTTCAGTGCTGGTTGATGAAAACTAGCTCACTTGTTCTCTTTGTTTTTATCTCTCTATTCAAAATTAGTCATTCATTTTATTCTGTCCATCTTGTTGGATTAGTCACATTGGTGTATGCAGGATTTCATAAGGAGGGCACACCATATTTTAATTTGATGTTAAAGAGAAGTTTTAGTAAATGGCGTCTGTAAACACATTTTATGAAGTTATGTGCCCCAAAAACTATATACTACTACCAGTATTGAGTAAGCCAGTTATTGGACACGTGTTGATCGTTTAATAAAAGAATTTTATTTATTTTGTTGTTCTAGTTATCGGAGGGAGATCACATTGCTGAAGGGGTAAGTAGATGCAAAATATATTCTAACAATTCTAACAAACAACAAAAAAAACAAACCAGGCAGAATGGACAGAGGAACTTTATCGGCGTACACTAAAATCAAAAGCAGGACCTTTTGGTCAGTGAGCAAATATCTGATTCACTGAATCACTATGACTATGGAAGAATAACGTTGCCAATATTAGTGCAATGTTTACGGTGCAAAATGCATGTCAGTGGTTGAAAATACCTAATTTATTTTTTAAATTTTCAATTTCCATTGCTGCACAATACCAGTGTCACAGTGTTAAAATACAGAATACACTTTTCAATAATTCAAATACAGTATAATAGTTATTTTGCACATTACATTTCTAGATTCTGTATTTTGCCTGGAGGACAGCTGTCTAGTTGTTCGGATGGGACGAAAAACCAAGGTCCCGTGTACACATTGGCGTGCACGTAAAAGATCCCTTGGCAGTTGGAATTCGATATAAGAATAGGCTGTAGCGCCGCTGCCGGGGCAAAATTTCCCTCATAGCACACTGTATGGCGTATGCCCAGGTTAGGAGCAGAACAGTAGGACATTAACTCCATTTCATTTCATTTCTGTATTTTGCCTTGTAGACAGATGCATAATAGAACTTACAATATTAGAACATACCTTAAATTATGCATTTGTCTATAATGCAGAATGAGGATGTGTAATGTGCAAAATAAGTATTATTCTGTATTTTGTATTATTGAAATCTGTAGTCTGTATTTGACACTATTATATTGGTATTGGTGACCAATGGAAATTGCAAATTGTAAAACTAAAATACGTATTTTAAACTTCTGACATATGCAGTTTGCACTGTGAATATTGAAATAATATTGGCAATATTATTCTTCCATACATGACGCTCTATTTGAGACCTACTTATAGATAGGTTGCTGTCATCATATTGTCATGGAAATTATGTGTCCAGAAAAACTTGTGAGCACACAATAGATTTCTTGAAGACATAAAGGATCCTTATTAGTTTGTTCAACACCCAAGTTTTTTTTTCTTGCCGATAAGCTGCTGTGTGGGGTATCTGTTATCAGCCCTATCAAACAATTTCCATGGGCGTGGATTTTGGGGCCCCGTCCCCCCCCCTTAGAATCGGACGGGGGGACAAATAGGTCTCTGTCCCCCCATGATTTTTGTCGCCAGGACAGATTTTCAGGTTTATATCCACATGATGGTGAGCTTGTTTCTACGGATCTGGAACTGAATCGGGACTTGGAACAAGAATTGCCATTCTTCAAGCACCATTTTTCATCCAAATCTATTTCACTTGTGCACGAGGTGTTCCTCATTATGTCACCTGAAGTGAGGCAGACGTTCCCTTCTGTCGAAGCTCTTCTCATCTCACACTGCTGAACCCTGCTAGTTCCTGCTCAGCCGAGCGATCCTTCAGCACTCTGCGCCGTATCAAAACTTGGTGGCGCAACTCCATGACGCAAAACCGACTGAGCCACTTGATGGCGTGTGTGGTGCATAATGACCCCCTTCATGTCGCCAAGATATTCAAAGAGAACAGTCCTGATCGTAGGACGAACTTCATGAACAATTAATATTTATGCAGCTTTGATGTAGTTAGTCAATTTTTCCATATTGTCATCATATTACCCCTAGTTACAGCCTTCATCGAAATAACACTGGTACAGTAAACGGTACGTAATTATTTATTTTGTTTGGTATTGAAATGTTCTAGATTCCAGGGTTCGTCCTTTCCCCCCCCCCCCCCCCCCCAAAAAAAAAGTTATGACAAATCCACGCCCTTGCTGATGAGTCAAATATAATAATAATATAATTATGCTGTTTTGTTTAAGCCAGCCCATTCTTCACGAAGGTCTTGTTTATGATGACCTTTGAAATATATAGAGGTATCTGGACTGTATTGCCTTTAAATGATTTATCACATGCTTTTTTAGGGCGGCATTTGAAAATGGGTTGTATCACAATATCACATTTGTTGAAACTTACTGAATTGGTTTGTTTTTATTGCAGAGTTCGGTAGCTGCATCATTATGTGATGGAAACATAGGTAAATATATTTATTTACTTTGTGATATATAGTAGTTAATTTTTTTTAATTTTTTTTTTTTTTGGACCCCCCAAACCCCCCCTCTGGATCCGTCCCTGTCATTGAAGTGTACGTAAAAAAACCCTTGGCAGTTTGAATTTTTGAATTGTAAGATAGACACAAATTTTGCTTTTGGGTGTATAAATGAAGAAGTTGGAAATAAACACTTAGAAACAGGAACTAGAATAAAGAAAACTGTATTAAAATTTTATGCCAAACTCATATATGAACAGCATTAGATAAGCATCTTACGAAATCCAGTGAGACTGGTCAACCACTACTAAATTCTACTTTATTTTATTTATATAGAAGTCAACAGATCAAGTGAAAGAGATGAGACCCCTTTGATAAGTGAAGAATGTAAGTTAAAATTTACATGTGAAAGTGCCAGAGGTGTCAACTAACATGTTTTCTGGGAGACTCAAGTTTATGATTTATGACCCTTTTTCAATCTCAATATGCTACTTTTATTTTCATAAAGGGAGGTAATAGTTTTAATCCCATTAATTTCCCCATTGACCTGTTGATTCCAACTTTTTCCCAAAGAGAGAGGAGAGATAGAGAGAGAGATGGTGGATTTAATGGATGCATGTCTCCATATTGCCCATGTAACCGAAACACTTTAGTCACTCTACAGTTGCAGGTCTGTGAAAGGAGTAGTTTTATCTCTAGGCAAAACCTGGTTTTGATGACCGGGGTCATAAATCTTTTCAAATTAAATGCACAGAACAGAAATCCAATTGGGTTTCCACATGACTAGCCATTCAGCCACAATGGCTCTGGTTTAAACAATGTATGGGGTTGAGTGCTCTAATTAAACTAGTCTGCTTTAGATCATAGGATTTGTCATTGACGCAAGTGGTGTGGTTTCGATCTCAAGCTTATATGTGACATGGAGTAGATTCGCTGCACAACCTGGTGGGTTTTCTCAGGGTTCTTCGGTTTCCTCCCACTGTTAAAGACCCCTATGTATACTATGTATAAGAAAATTGCTGAAATAAAATTGCACCATATGTTAGTCCCACAATGACCTGGTTTGCATGGAGTGATTGTTTTTTAACTTCGTTTTATGACCTCGAGCACGGATGACGTTGCTACTTGTGGGACTATCAAGCCTCTGTCTACTGTGATAATAAATTCCAAATGTTTAAATTGCAGATGATGAAGGGATGGAAGTAAGGGACAGTGAAACTCAGGAAAGATTGTGTGTTAACTGCAAAAAAAGTCCACCTCAAGTGCAGTTATTACCATGTGGACATAGGATCTGTTGTATATGTTCAGAAAATCTTCGACAATGCCCTTCTTGCAGAATGATTGTTAGGGGAAGACTTCATATGTAATGAGCCTTAATATGGTTGAAAAGTCTTTTGGAAATGAAATGAAATGGGGTTTAACGTCCTACTGTTCTGCTCCTATACTGGGCTAATGAAGACGGGCATACGCCATACAGTGTGCTATGAGGGAAATTTTGCCTACTCTTATATCGAATTCCAACTGCCAAGGGATCTTTTACGTGCATTCCAATGTATACACGAGGGACCTCGGTTTTTCGTCTCATCCGAATGACTAGACAGCTGTCCTTGTCAGGCCCTCCGTTCTGCACCACTGACAAGGGGAAACCACGTCGGAAAAACCAGAAGAACTTTCTCGGCCAATGTAGGGATAGAACACCCGACCTCCAGGCTAGCGAGCCAGTGTCTTAATCACTTTAATTTACCCTACATCTAACCTCAGCTGTATGAGGTTTAGTGATATGTAGCTACACCCATACAATTGTCATCTGGCTACCAGTTTACTTATAAGGAAAAGTTGCCGCTTTTAGAAAGAAGTTCTTAAAATGGCGGCTTTCGAAGAGTGTGTAGAGTTTTCATTGCAAAGTTGTCCTTTAGTTAAAGAAAATCGAATAAACTTGAAAGAAAAACTGCTTCAGACATCCAGGAGCATGAAAATAGTTACAAAGGGGGAATTCGTCAAACAGCGTGGGCTGAGTGATATGACTTGTGCCTTATCGACCAACAATCTACCATTTCCTTTGTTGTTATATTTGACCCACCCTCACCAGTTGCAAATTTGTCTGCTCATTTGTTTATCATGCTTTCAAAAATAGAGAGTAATATAATGTACCCGCTACACCTATTGTGTTGTATTGTCAAGATCATCTGCCTTGTTTGTTTACAAAAGTCTATATTACTGATTCCGAAACTAAAGATTCTTAAAGGAAACGCACATAGGCCCATTATCCCCCTTGCGGTAAATGGCCTTCTTTAAGTTCTTTTATTTATTGATTTCTTTTTCTTACATGTACATCTGTTGTACTGTATAAAAATTAATTGTATAATGTAATAAAATTTATTTTATCTATGCATTCAGTCTTTTACTTATATTATGCAACCAGCAACCAGTTGTATATAGGGAGTTTGCTAAAATTACGAGATAGTATGCCAGTTCACAGGTAGTAAATCTGAGATCCAAGTACAAGAAAGATCAACTATCAAGGATTCGACTTTTCAGTGCATACCAATGGGTACATAGAACCTTGGTTTTTCATGCCATGTGCCCTGCACCACTGACAATAGAAAACTATGAATAAGAATACAGAGGAGTGAACCCAATAACCCCTGGTTTGTAAGTACACATCTTACGCAACGAGCCACCGCAGCTCCCTTGCCACAAACAAATTGATTGTGAAAATTGAGTCTGGACTTGGAATATCAGTCTGAAAACCCTTAATTGCCATTCAGTATTTACAAAGATATGATGAACTGGAAATTCCATGGATCTATGCTGCTCCCTGCAGTAACAAGACTGTCATTATCTTGATTTGCCCTTGACCAAATTGATGTGGCTGTTTTTAAATACGACTAAAACCAAGCCAGGAGATTTGGTATTTTTTGTTGCTTTTCGCAAATTAATTGTTAAATAATCAATCCGAGTACTAGCTGGGTTAAACCATGACAAATTGATATTGTTTGGGTTATGCCCCCTTTTTGAGAAGAAAACGACATCTTGGCCATGATAGAGGTCTAAACTTTTCATGGAAGCTTTCTGAAAATATCACAATAGTTGCTTTAATTACTAGACAGGGGAGCTGGAGCGTTCAACGGGCAATTGTCTCCCGTCGTCGTTGAGAACCACCAAGAAAATGTATTGCAGAAAAATAACAAAACCAGAACACCGCGGCCATTTAATACATAATCTAAGATAGATTTGGTAAAAATTTCAAACACTCATAACTTGGCTCAGAATGAAGTAGTTTGAATGCTATTTTAAATATATTCAAAATTTATTATTTTCTGTTTTTGAAATATTGTATCAAGAACGACCAGCTCTATCTAATTCTTGTCAAGGATGTGGATCAATTAAGTAATGAATTATCGGGCATCGCATTTTACACACATATTTTTCTATGGTATCACCAATCATCGACTAGAAAGTAGCAAAAATTTTGCGCCCCCCCCCCCTTTTTTTGAAAACTTTGCATACGCCACCTAACTGAATAATAAATTTCCATGCCAGACCATATATTTACACCCGTCATTAATATATTCAAGTAAAAACAATGATGTTGGGTTGGAATATTTATTCTACAGAATTATCGTTAATTAAATAGTTTGATTACACTTATTAATATATGGCGCTAGATGATCATCGGGGACGGCTTGTTCTTTAATGGATACATGACTAAAAACTAATTCACATAAATTATTTAAAAAGTATTGTAGCACTGATCACTGAAGTTCAATTATTTCCCAAAGGTGTTTAATTATAAGAAACAAGACTACGTCTTCTGGCAGGAGGATCTATCTTGGTTATGTACAGGCGGTAATCAGATCTAGAGGACTATTATATTGACTGTCATTTTAAGAGCCTAACCAATCTTATCGCTCAAATAGACCAACGATATTTAAAATAGCAATGTGTTAAGAATTACTCAAAATGATAAACTTAATATATATACACAAATAGGCTATACAACACTACTATTATTATTATTATTACAGCATATTTATAGTGCGTCCTTTCATATAACATGTTCAGGGGCACTTTACAATGTGAAAATGTAACCATAAAGAAACAACAAGATTATGGACATGTTAACAATTGTATACAGTCAGTTAAAAGCCGGATTAAATAAATGTGTTTTAAGTTTTAGAGATGTACAGCATCTTAAATTAAACGGTAGATTATTCCATAAAACAGGTGCTTGAAAACAAAAAGAGTAATTGCATAGTTATATACACAGAATAATTGGGAATTCAACATATGAACACAAGACAGGGTTGACACAAATACTTCCCTTCTCTTTATATTTAAAGATGTGTGCTATAGAACACAAGAATGGACATAATAACTTCATTTTGAGCGGAGTTTGAAAAACAGTGTAGTCTCGATTGCCATTGCTACCGTTGTTACGGTAATAAACAAAGTCTCGATTATCCATGATTTAATGAAATTATTAAATTGGGTTCCGTTGAAAATCAAAACCATCCGATGCTCTAGAGACTAGAGAGTTGATTATGGGCTTGGCATGTGAATATATGTCTAATTCATGGTTTCTATGAAAGGTCTATAATTAGGTAGATTTATGTCTTACATAATGCATCTTTAAGAAAGTTTTTGCCATAATTTTTAGAGGAATCTAAGTTTATTTTGAATATCGTAGGCCTATTATTGAAATGTAATTATATTATATTTGTTTAGTGACAGTGATACATTTCTGTAGACTCAAGTTCTTTTGTTCAATAAGCTGAGCAAACAATTATTCAAATTTTATATTATTTAAAAAAATCAAGGGGGGTAACTCAGGGAGTAATTTTTCGGAAATCAATAAATCAATTCAATAAGCTGAACAGTCTATTAAAACTTTAAAAAGACTCCATCATAATCATCGCATATATAACGTTTAAATAGACAGACGGGTGAACTGACAGACGAAAATATACGCCTAACTAATAAAAACAGTGGGCACATAACATAACATAAGATTTAAAAAATAAAGGGGAGTAATTGCTGGAATTCAAAATAACCAGTCGTCTTCTATTCTGTAAAGTAGTCAACTTATAAAAAACCTCCGTGATAATCGTGAAATACATAACGTATGAACGGACGGACAGACAGACAAGGAAACTACCAGTACAATAACATTATCAACAATAATAAGCATAATAATAGTATCTCATGTATTAAGAATAATAGAACAACTAATAACAATAACAAACTTTTAATATAAAATTGTGAATATCACAGATTAACAATAAATATAAACTATGTTAATATATTCGGTAATTAAATGTATACAGCATCAGCGAAGTCTTTGGTTCTTTAAACACCAGGCACAGATGTCTCTGTTTCCATATTAAGTTTAATATCATCCTCTGCCACTGTAATGTAAAGATGGTTTTAAATTTTTAATACGTCTAAGAAAATTGGGCTTGAAAATTTTGTCGTCCATTTAAATAATGTTGAACCACTGAGATTTATATTCAAATAGCTCTTATTACTCTATACATGATAGCATTTTATTAAGATAATCTTTCCTATAGTAAAATGTTTCATTAAGTAATAAATATAGAGAAAATTTGATTTTTGACATAAAATAAATATCCGATATGAGTCTCCGATTAATAGATGTCGAACTTTATCAATGTTGTTTGCGCTCTATCACCATCACACCTCTGTATCACAGGAATGGATTAAAAAGTGAGCAGGAATATTTTATCCCCATCTTTAATCCATGGAAAAAAATCGGGTCAAATGATGTGTTTTAATTACGGGCTGTACTTTATTTCATGCCAAATTCCATGTACTGGTAGTATAAAATATTCAGAAACAAAATTTAACCTGGACTCTAATGTATTTTCAAACAAATGAATACTAATTGCACTATTTTTACATTATCTATTTTGTATCTTACCAAAAGTTGGATTGTCATGAAAATGATTATCTGGGACAGAGCTATCATTGTTTCGGTCAGTTTCTGTGCTTTTGGTAATAAGTGAAACTCGATCTCCTATATTGATGTATGTTACTTTAGGTCGATCCTGCAAAGTACTCGATTCCTCCACTTGTTTATCAGCCTTCTCTGTCGTTACCTCTGGTTCACTGGGCTTGTCTGTCGTTAACTCTTGGTCACTTGGCTTCTCTGTGTTTACCCCTTGGTCACTGGGCTTCTCTGTTTTCACATCTTCCGTCTTTACGTTGTCAGGACCCGAGCCTGTAACCATCAAACTATGACCGTCAGTGTTTTGGTCAGGTGTTGGTAGCCCATTGTCAACACAATAATATTGAGTTGTTTGACCATTTAACCAAGGAGTACCGGCAGCATGGTTGGTCCGATTTCCCAATTTGTTTTCGATAATTTCATTGACTGCATAATGGATGAACATATATTGTTTCTGAATTTAAAATGAAAGTGACATATAAATTAATATCTAGTATAACAACACTTTGATAAAGACAGATATAATGTTGAATCACTAATATAATATAAAAGTTTCTTTGTACTATCACCTTTTCCAAATCAAAAGTCTTAAAACTTTGTTGTACCACCCATACAAATTTGTTGGGTCTACTACACTGGTGAAACTCCGAAACTTACAAAATTGGCGTACTTACAAGTGACTGAACCATTCGGCAACGGCAACATCTTAATCTCACCACCAAATCCGGTATATCTATTTCTTCTGACATGTCTAACCGATTGATATGCTGCTGAAGAATATCTAATGCAATATATGTTCCAGTACGACCTACGCCAGCACTGCAATTAAATCATGTAATCATGTAAATGTCCCTTAATAAAACACAAGTGTGAACATACCATTATATAGGCACACTAAGCAGAGTATGCATACCCCGTTACCGGAAGTTTTTCGTGCCATTCTCTTCTCGGTGGCTCAGTGAGAAAGGAAGACATCGACTCAATAATTAGGAGGAGTCGATCACGGTGTTGACCGAGAAAGTTCTCTGTCATTTTCCACCGTGGTATCCCCTTGTCAGTGGTGCAGGAAGGACTCCTATCTACTACTATTATGGAACAAATGTAACACTACAGGGTTTACTGAAGTGGTTAAACAAATGGGTGACAATGAGAAATGGACTAAGTAGGTATTTTGCAGGTTTCAACTTTCTTAGACTAATTCACTGACAGTTTTTGACACCATCAATTTCTAGAAGTAGGTTACTGGGGTCCAGTCATTTCGTGCGCAGATTATTCCAATGCAATAAACAATGTGAATGAAAACGGGTGCTCAAATGAAACACTTACCCAAACATGTTAATTGCCTCACCGCGATAGCTGACGTATCTATACTTCTTGTATAAGAAAGAGCGGGGTTAAATTTCCCTTTAAACATCAATCAGGCATCATAGAGCGGTCCTATGGGGACGTTTAGCCGCCTCGGCTTAGAGGCCAGGAATCGGATATCATTTGGGATTCTCAGAAGGACGTTCCCATAACCACCACGGCTTAGAGGCCGGGATTCAGACTGAGACATGCATGGTTCTTAGAAGGACTACTCACAGCTTCTGGCTCGAGGCTAGGGCGAAGAAATCGTGGTTCTTAGAAGAACGTACTCTCAGCCTAAACCTAAAATTCGAGGCCGCGATAGAGACAATATGTAGTGTTTCTGTTGTTTGGTCTAAGTTCTAGGCCTGTTAATCTCAGCCTGTAGATATTATAATAACCCATAACGTAATATCATAGATGTTGTAGTTTCTTGTATTTCATATATAAACATAGTTATAACCACACCGTTACCCAGAGTTTATTCATCATTGAAGTTTTATACACAGTGTAAAGAAAGTCCTACAGACAGTGTCGCGTAAAAGAAGCCATAACAGTTGGAATACGAAATAAGAGTAGGCCGTAGCGCTGCTGTCCGGGCAAAATTTCCCTCTCTTACTCAATGAGCCACCGCGGCTCCCAGAGAAATAGCACGCTAAACACCATTTCATTTCATTTATCTTCTCTTGTGTAGAATCAATGATTCCATGTAAAAGCTACGTGCACCTTTTAGAACGCAATCCCAGGTGGAATGGCCACCTGCAGTCCTTTCAAATACACAATGATAATTTATTAAAGTACCTTTGAAAAAACTGGTTACATATTTTCTAGAAAAAGTCAGCACAACAACCTTAGACTACCCATTAGCGATACTTCGAAATATTTTTATTAAGTATTTATTACCTTTTTACATATTAGCCGACCTACCTACAATGCACCAGTAAAGGTCTTTGGGAAACAGGATTGATTTCTTGACGAACACGTTGAATAAATTCTAAGACATCTGCTGGATCCAGATTAGCCCCAAAATCTACCCACCCCGGCAGAAAAAAATGTCGAACTGTTCTTTCTTCGTTATCCTTAATAAACAAATGGTATTATCTTTTAAAACGCAAGCATCCCAGAAACCTTAGATCAGTTTTCAATTAAAAGGTGGGGAGGGGGGGGGGGGCAGTGGGTAAGGTACTGGCTCGATATCCAGGAGGACTCTGGTTTCCTCCAAGTATTAGGCGAAACTTTCCCCCACATAGCAACATAGCACACTGCATGCCGTACGATCGTACTATGGACCAGGGACTGGCCATGCTATTCGACGAAATACAAAAACAAATCTAATTCACCAAATCGATGCAGAATTGTTCAAGAAGAAGCATGCCAATTTTCATGTCGATCGGACTTGCATTAACGGAATCTTAGGCTTTTTCGAAGATAGCCACCAGCTAGAACAAGAACAAGATAAGTAGTCGTAAGCGACCAGTTCCTGGTCTAAAATAGAGTTTGAGACAAAACACAATCAAATCGAAAACATAATAGTCCAAAATTCATTGATTAATAAATTATGTCCACTAACATTATATCCACTAACATTATATCTACTAACATCGGGATCAAGGTAGCCTATTATCTAACCTACATTTATCGTTTTAATCTCCTAAATGATTAGTTGAACACCATTTTCAACCCTGACTTGTGTTTAGTTAAAATTGTGAAAATGAAGACCCTGGGAAAATTTCATTGCTTTCAGTAAATTGCAGTAAAAAATCTTTTTACCTTTCTTATTTCAAATGTTTGAACTTGAAAAGTGTTTTCTGGGTTGCCAGTGGCATAAAAGTTTGATTTCTGCTGAAGTTTGACGCTGATACTCCCATACTGCGTTGGATTACCGTTATCGCTATAGTATCTGTACACCTTGGGCTGAAACAAAATGGTAGCTAGCATAATTTAATCATACTTTATCATTCAACTAAAACAACCAAGAACATTCGGTCACCAAGAAAAACAATTAAAAATACAAGAATTTGAAATTAGCACAAGGCACAATTACTATAATAGAGTGGTATGCTACATAGTTTCGTAAATACATCCTGAGTGATCCCTGGGGTATCCCCCGGAAACAAAACCAGTTGTTATATGTCAATTTCAACCCAAAAACATGAAATTTTACATTACCCTGCCATCTTCTTCAAAATTTGACAACATGACAATGATATATACATTATGTTCCCAAATCATCCGCCAAAAAGTATCTACTGTTTCGGCTAAAGGCCCTTGAGCTGCGATATATTCGATATCTGAAGTATAACCCTGGGGATAAACAATGACATATAAATATATTTAGACGAATAAAACTCGTAAATTCTTAGTTTGATTTCTGAAAGTATCATAATTGATAGAGTAGTGTCTGGATAAGCATGTATAGTCCCCAGATTTGATTCCCTCCTTTGCCAACATGTATCATGGAACTATAAATATGTTCTATTTAAACATACATTATGCAAGAGCTAAATCTGCCTAATGCAGGTCTTTCTTTAGGCCTGAAGTGTTATTTAAATTATTAATTAGACATTAATTAACTTATCCAGACCATAATCAACTCTCGATGTCAACGCTAGTATGCCTAGCCTGCGATCTTTACTCGATTAGGATCCGACTTGCTGCTCAACTTTCATTCGTGATTTAATCATTAAATGGTAATCGAGACTATGTTAATGATGATCGAGGCTAGGCCGAAAATTCAATCGCTAAAATTTCGATTCAGAATGGATGAATTTGACTGAAATTTTCAGCAAATTCCTTTTATATTATCTAGCTTTTAACTATCATAGTGAGAACTGCCAGCTCTATCTAATCTCCCATAATGTATCTTTAATGGGTTATATAGTATACATAGTATAATATAAAGTAATAGAAATAGATACACGTAAACCTACCACCCTTGATACACCAACCAAGTTCACTCTTTGTCCAAGTCACTTCCTCCTGGTAAATATCTAACTAGTAAGCCTCGTAGGTCTACCCATTTGTAAAGAAACACCAAGTCAACTCAATTCCTCCTGGTAAATATCTAACTAGTAAGTCTAGTGGGTCTACCCTTTTTTATGCTTTCTGGGGGGGGGGGGGGGTGCGGGGCTACTCATCTTGTTCGTCTTCATTGGGGGGGGGGGGGGCTTCGATTCGAACTACGATCGACAGTAAACGTTGAAAGTACGATAGTACTATATGGATAAGGCAACCAAGCACGACGCCATCGCCATCATCTTGGAGTTTTATGCCACCCTCATTGAATTGACGTTGGTTTTTGAACGAGACGCCCCCACGAAGAACATCAATATGAGTAACGCATGGTTCTTGGTCCAAATATGGTTACTTACTCGTATAAAGTTAGCATTAATATAGTCTGTCGTTTTATCTTCGTCTATGGTGGTGAGTTTAACCCGAGTTTTATCAACTGAAAAAACAAAGGTTTGCAATATAGAACTAGTTTTACGGATAGAATTAAAGGACAACGTTAGTGTCCACCGATTTCACATATGTATAAGCTTACCCATTCAAAATATAATTCTAAAATTGATCAACTCTTCATCTTCTAACAAGGATTATTAATGAGCTGAAAATCGTAACAATAACTATTTTTCTTTATTTGCGTCGCGTCTCAATTCTTCAAATCATTGTTACGAAATCCATTTTAAAATTATATTTGGAATGTGTTCCAGCAATTCTATCAAATATTTAATATTGTTAGATATCAACACTGTCCTTTAAAAAAGTGATCGATATAAATCAGTAAAGTGCCATATTATACATAATTATTTAAAGTATCTAAGTCTCTAACTCAATGTCATCCAAAGTCTTCGACATTGAAAAAACAAATTATTTGTCAATTTAAATCAGCATTGATGTTGTGATCTTACCGGGAAAAGATGGGCTTCTGATATCAAATATTTAAGACAAAGTAAACACTTTACCATTGGTACACGATTCGTGTACCATAATGCGTTTCAGCGCCATAACTGATTTGACCGAACATAACTGATTTGAAATTAGAGTAAAAACGGAAACCATTATATATGTTGCGATCTATTTGTGTCAATTTCTAGGTCTTTTAAATGCTAATGGTATATTCTATGCCTTTTTATTTTTCTTAAAACTTACATGGTAAGATATCCATATAACGGTTTTTCGGTCCAATTATTTCCAGCTTAGCAACTTCCTTTGGATAATCAGGACTACATTCTGCGATATCCTGCAAGTTACACAAAACAGACATAATATATATCTCAATATCGGAAAGGAATTTAGCTGATGATGGCTTGATGGAATGAAATTGGGTTTCGCGCACTCTCGTCGAACCGATATATTGCTTGTTTCACTGACCTGTATCAATTGTCGGAGCAATAGTTATCAATGGCATTGGGATGGGGGTGCAATGGTGAAATAATAATGTCGATAATATCTGTATCGCTGATGTAATAAAATGTCAATTTTGTATGCCCAGCCGTGTAATGCTATGGTTATACTGATAATATAATTTTATGGCAATACATACACCCCGCAGTGTTTCCTTTGATTAGACCTAACCACAAAAAATAGATAGGGGTCATTGTTCCCGCTGGAAAATGGTGGTTTTATCGATATTAATACCGATAATGTAATAAATGTCGAAAATGTCGTCTTGTATTATTCAGCACGGACCAGTCTGGTTATGTTGTTCTCTCTGCGTCTGATTTCAGACGTGTGTTTTGAAAATTATGTTCATTTGTACCACGCTACGAAATGTCTCCCGTGTAGCAAACTTACCTCAAACTCACTTAAAAATTGAAGCCCTTCATCTTTTGCCATTGTTTTTAGGTGAAACGAGAAATCCTTCAATTTAATGGGACTATAGATAACAAAATAAAAATAAATTAAAACCCATTATATATTGAATATTACATGTTCAAACTTAACTTAGAGTAAAGCGTTTTGCACGAGCCTTTCGTTACCAACTATTTACCTTAGCACCGTTGGGCAGATCTATACATAGTTTAATTTGAACAATATAATTAAAAACTACTATTTTACCACCCAAAAGGTGCAATAATAATAATGCTAGAAAGCACAAAAACCGTAATGATCTAAAAATATTATTTTAGAAAAACGTAGAAATCTAGAAATGAAGAAGAGCAGATTTTAATATATTTTTTTAAATATAAATTTGACGCCACGACTGAGCTATTAACGCCTGAGGCTAATGCCACAAAATGCATACATACTTTCTATAATGTACAGTATGATAATGATAGAGTATCATTGTATAATCGTGTACTTTCCTTGGTAACTGCATGCACAGATGTAGTTCAATATTAAATTGCTTAGAACTTGGATATAAACAAATTGAATAAAAATCATAACGATATCGAAAGTATCACTTCCTTTAATATAATATAAATTATTGACATAAGAAATATAAAGTAAATTTATATATATATATATATATATATATATATATATATATATATATATATATATATATATATATACCAATATGATACTTTTGAAAGAAAATAATTCCTGCCAATATGTTCAATTAGTCATATTTGCCCACAATACTCACTTTGTCGCCATTGTTACTTCTCTCATTCTTATACTATTCTCTGTATTATGCGAAGTGCTGTGAAAGAAAAATAATAATTTCTGTGATACACTAAATCGCTTTAAACTGAAAGTAAAATCTAAAACGATTCAGCTAATTGGGTGCAAGTCCTGGAATTCGGTGATGTGGCTATTGACTCTAGAGAGTTACCCATTTTCCTAGTGTTGGAGTTTGTCATTCTAAGGTTTTCATGAACACCTGGCGCCACTTTCTTTTGGGAATTTTCAGGTTTGTAGTCCAGTCAGTTATTGTCAATACTTTTCCACTGGTTAGTTTATTGCAGTTAGCCGGTTTGCGTTAGTAAACGCATGTATCTAAAAAAAGGCAAAACGTGGTCATAAATATTTATTTACCGGAATATATAATGTGTATTATAAAAAGAAGAACCCTGGTGGACTCAGGTCATCCATCTGGGTTTTGTTTTATACATTATTTGTACAAAATCAAACACCACAATATAACTCTGTTTAAATATCGATGAGACCATGCCTTCACCCGATGAGACAGAGTAACTTTGTTTTAATCAATTTAAGCAAGCAGTTAAGGACGGTGAGTGAATCATAAGCTATAGATAAAAAATTAATCTGTTGGGTTGTTAAATTTATAATTTTGTTTTATGTGTAACATCAAGCTAATTTATTTATACGAACCGTCGACGTCTATACCAGATTATAGCCCCGATGATGATCAGAATTACCAGCAATATAACAATGATGCTGACAACTATCGCCACAACTGGTGTTTCTGGAGGTACTGAAATATTTGTAAAGATACAATATATTGATTAAGATACATTATGGGAGATTAGATAACGAGTGGACAGTTTTCACTATAATAGTTAAAAACTAGATAATGTAAGGGGATTTGCTGAAAATTTCATTCAAATTGATCCACTATGAACCGAGAATTAAACGATTGAAATTTTCGCCTAGCCTCGATCATCATTACTAAAGTCAGTATGATAAACATCATAGTCTCGATTATCCATTTTGAAAAAATTGATTTTTTTTCTAAGTCCAATATCTTATGGAACTCTTGTGGTGAAAAACACCACAGACCCAAAACACTTTATCAAAATTATTCCAAGTCGAAAATTTTGTGGAATGTGGTAACACACAGGCACATAAGGAGGTATGAGAAGAAATTTTTGAAAAACTGATTTTTTTTCTAAGTCCAATATCTTGTGGAACTCTTGTGGTGAAAAACACCACAGACCCAAAACACTCTATCAAAATTATTCTAAGTCGAAAATCGTGTGGTATGTGGTACCACACAGGCATATAGGGAGGTCTGAGAAAAAAATTTTGGAAAAAAAAATGATTTTTTTTCTAAGTTCAATATCTTGTGGAACTCTTGTGGTGAAAAACACCACAGATTAATATATTTTGTAGAATATATTTTCCCCACATCTTACAAGATGATAGGATAAACTATTATTGTTCCAGCGAAATAAAAAGAAAATGTTTCATAAATATTTCATTGTCCACTTTTCCAAACGCCCCCAAACCTTGCCATGTCTAAAGAAAGACCTGCAATAGACAGATTTAGCTCTTGCATAATGTATGTTTAACTTTAAAAGTAAACCGTTAAAATAATTTAACCAATAGAACCGATACCATTTATAATATCTACACGAAAACATACAACTAATGAAACATGAAACATGAAACATACAAATAATATCTACATGAAACATACAACTAATATCTCCACGAAACATGAAACATACAAATAATATCGACAAATAGGCATGTCAACTAATATCTGCATAAAACTTACAAATACTGTCTACAGTGTAGACAGTGTATCTACACGAAACAAACTAGTAATATCCACATGAAAAATGGTGATATTCAATATAATAAAGTAATCACTATATGTATTGTTTAACCTTACCTGCCATTGTTTTAAACGTTTGTTTAGAAACTTCCCCAGCTCTTTTATTATAATAAGTTATAATAGTGATAGTATACTGTGTTTCAGGTAACAGAGTTTTAGGAGATATTGTAATACTGGCGATTTTAGCAGTTTGATTGATATCAACCTCTAATCCTCGTCGTCCTATGTTCACCCGATATTCATCAACAACACCATACCGTGGTTGTTCAAAGCTTATATTCATTGTCTTAGTCGTATCATAGATATTATAAGGAGATAAAGAACCAGCTTTACTAGGATCTAGAAATATAAATGGGGCATATATTCATTGCCTGGTTGGCGTAATTATATATTACTGGCAGAAAATTCACAAGCTTTAATAGGACCTACAGATTTAAAGAAAGGATAGTGGTATAACCACCTTACTTGTATTATTGGTATCAGTAATAATATTATAATCAACATGCTAGTAACCAGTTATAATTATATAATCGACTAATCAGTGGTATCAGTAGCTGAAACCTCTAATATTGTAATGAACTAACTAGTAGTGTCAGGGGTAATATTGTAATTAAATTACAAGTCAGGTATAAACTTACTGGTGGTATCGCTGATAGTTTCAGACATAACGGATACTTCACCTCTATCTGTATTAACAATTGCTGTAACTGTTAAGTTATCATATCTAGTTCCCGGACGTAATCCTGGAATGGTGGTTTTAAACATAGTTTCGTCCATTGGTGTAGTTTTGATATTCATACCAACTGCACTGGTGATAAATTCCTTTGTTACGTCACTACGGGATACATTCCAGGATAATGTTATTGATTCAGCTGTTGTAGCAGTGACAGCAAGATGTTTTGGTTTCAAAGACACCACTGAAAGTAAGGTTGAAATAATGTTTTTCTTACATCCGTATAAAACTAAATTAAAACTAAATTTATAAATTCTAATGTCGCAGTTGGCATTACTGGATTTTCCATGATTCTTCAAGTCATACACGATGCCTATTGTTGACAATGCCTAATTTCAGTCCATGTCAAATACGAGTCTATTTTTGAAAATCTGCCGAATCCAGAGAATGACATATTGTCAGATACTGGTTAATCAAGGTTATTTTAATCCAATGAGTGGCTTAAAATACATAGCTACCGTAATGTGAACATTACTGCGAACAGTACAACATTGTATTTGCTACCTTGACAAAGAGTCAAAGGACTGAGTCGATAAATAGATGGGTTTTACTACATAAATTAGTCCAATTTTAGACAACACACAATTTATATATTAATACATGTATATAAAACACAAAACAAACCTTGAAAATAGATAAAACGAAAAAAAATAATGACCTTACAAAGAATATTGGTAATAATAAGTTACGAAACATTCTGAACAACATGAGTTATTGGGAGTTATTGTCAGTAAAGAGGGGAGAATAAAGGGCATTATATTAAAGATACATTATGGGAGATTAGATAAAGAATTGGCAGTTCTCACTATACTAGTTAAAAACTAGATAATGTAAAGGAAATTTGCTGAAAATTTCAGTCAAATTGATCACCTGTGAACCGAGATTTTAGCGATTGAATTTTCGGTCTAGCCCCGATCATCATTATTAAAGTTGGTACGATCAAAAACATAGTCTCGATTATCCATTTCATGATTAAATCAAGAATGAAAGTGGATCAGCAAATGGGATTCTAATCCAGTAAACATCGCAGGCTAGCATTAACATCGAGAGTTGATTATGGTCTGGATAAGTTAATTAATGTCTAATTAATAATTTAGATAACATTTCAAGCCTAAAGAAAGACCTGCAATAGGCAGATTTGGCTCTTGCATAATGTATGTTTAACAAATGGAATTCGCCCTGGTATTAGACAACACCGTTATGTATTTCAAATTCATGTGAAATAAGGTTATTGAAATTTATGATCTGTATTTCTGACACAGTTCAAATAATGGACCGGTGTATATATGAATTTCAGATTTCTCAGTTTTTAAGGCGGGTTACTGACTTAATCATATTTGTTAAATTATTGATTTTTGTTATGAGAGCAGAATGTATGCATCCATTGAATTACATATCAATGCTGCACATGCCTTCCTGTAGTGTATTTAAAGACTTTACGACAATTCTAATAAAATAAAAAGAAAAAAATAGAATTTTAAACTGAAATTTCATCATGTATTATCGCAAAATTCGGGTGATGTGTCATTCATGAGAGTCACTGTGTCAAGATTGTATGAACGCAATTACAACGTGCTTGGGTTTTAATATCTCACAATGTATATTATATTTAGCAATAAACATTTTTCTGGGTAGTTTGGATATATATGTATTACAATCATTGGTTGGGACTGCCACGGGAACATATCTTTAACAATAATATTGACGAAATAATCACCTGATTTGCATTGCTTATTATCTGTATAAAAACTGGTATTACATCTACAGCGTGTACTGTTACCGTCATCATAACAGCTGCTATTAATAACGGTACAACTATCTGATGATAATATGCAATTTTCTCCATAACCTGGTAAAATAATAGGTTTAATTAAAATCAATAATATATTCGAGAGAGAGAGAGAGAGAGAGAGAGAGAGAGAGAGAGAGAGAGAGCAATTTTAGTTCAATAATACACCTGGGGGTAAGGATATTTAACATTTGGGGGATCCCGGAGGACCCGTAGGAAACCCACGAAGTAACATATAGTACAAATTCATTTAAATAATTTGCTTGTGCCTAAGTGTATTTAGCAGTAGGAGGACCCGTAGAAAATAACCCTACTCCTTGTCACAGATATTAAGATCTAAAGCGCAGGCGTTATACCAATCCATCATCCAACCCTCCAATGGTGAGGTAAAGAGTGGGGTATACGGGGTATAAATCTCACCCATAATTAAATACAAATTAACTATTTTATGAATGACAATACCTGATGGAATTGTAAACGTTTGCATAGAGACTTCTCCAGGTTTATTGTAATAATATGTTGTAATATTGATGTTATAGCTTTGACCTGATTCAAGTGTAGAGGCATTTAGAGAGAGATTAGGAATTGAAACATTGAAAACCATGCTGTTAGATGACACAGAAACTAGGTAATAATCTACTTCCCCTTCACTGGGTGACAAGAAAGATATATTTATTGTCGTCTCTGTCTTATTTGTCTTTATCTTTCCAGCTTTGCCAGGATCTGCAAATATCATATAAATAATTAAAATTGGTAATAATATAACATTATAATTTATTTTTGTAGTTTGAGTGATTTCATTATTATCAACTAACTAGTAATCAAATTACTAGTTGCATCAGTGATAATATTATTATCAACTAACTAGTGGTAACAATGATAATATTATTATCAGCTAACTAGTAGTATTAGTAATTATAATAAGTGATAATATTATAACTATTATCAATCAGTGATAGTATTATAATCAAGTGGTAGCAGTGGTAATATTTTAATTGAGTTACTAGTTGTATCAGTGATAGTATTATAATCACTAATGGTATCAGTTATAATATTATAATCAACTTACTAGTTTTATCAGTGATAGTATTATAATCAATCTACTAGTGGTGTCAGTGATAATATTATAATCAAATTAGTAGTTATCAGTGATAATATTATAATCAAGATGTATCAGTGATAATATTATAATAAACTTATTAGTGGTATCAGTAATAATATTATAATCAACATGCTGGTAACCAGTACTAATTATATAATCTACTAATCAGTGGTATCAGTAGCTGCAACCTCTAATATTGTAATGAACTAACTAGCAGTATCAGGGGTAATATTGTAATTAAATTACAAGTCAGGTATAAACTTACTGGTTGTATCGCTGATAGTTTCAGACATAACGGGTACGTTTCCTCTATCTGTATTAACAATTGCTATAACTGTTAAGTTATCATATCTAGTTCCCGGACGTAATCCTGGAATCGTGATTGCTGTTGTAGTTCCGTTGATTGTTGTATTTTTGAAATAAATTCCATTTTCACTAATGATAAATTCCTTTATTACGTTATTACTGGATACACTCCAGGATAATCTTATTGATTCAGCTGTTGTAGCATTGACAGCAAAACCGCTTGGTTGCAAAGCCAACACTGGAAATAAAGTTGAAATAATATTTTTCTTACATCCGTATAAAACTAAATTTATAAAATATCTAGTTCCCGTTTGTAATGTTTCAGTGGTAACAGTTTTATTATATTGGTTTTTGATTTATTTCTTTCATTTCCACTGATGATAAATTCCCTAATAGCGACATCCTTGGGCACATTCCAGGAATTTATTATAGAATTAACTGTTGCGTTAGTGACAGTCAAATTTCTTGGCTGTAAATACGACACTAGAAGAAAAGGGTTATTGTTGTAGATGTACCTTTCAGGATAATGTTATACCATTAAACAATTTTTTAGTGACTTTCAAATTTCTGGATTTTTAATCTGATCAGAAAAATGTAAACATGATTTAAGGTGATATTTTGCATTGAAGTTGATACTAACTTTTTGAGTTCTAAATTTGTATTGAAGGTCATCTTCAGTTGTTTTGTTTGTTGAGTTTAAGACCTGATACACTAACGACAACCAAAACTATTATAAGGAAATGCCATGCATACAATGAAATAACTGTCTCGTTTATAAAACATTTGTCAGACTGGTTGATTGTTATAATTTAACAAGTTTGATACCGATGATTGTTTATAGTATGACTTATTATTCTTATTTAATTACAAAATAAGAGAATAAATATTTGACTCGCCTGGTTCACATTGATTATCATGTCTATAAAAGATTTCATTACATCTACATGTTGAGCTTGTATCGTTAGTAAAACAACTGCCATTACCTACATTACAGTTATCTGGTGTTGCTATACAGTTTTCACCATAACCTGGTTCTATACAAAATATTATATGAAATCAAGTTATTATAAACAACATTACCTGGTGATGATGTACAATCATATATTTACTATATTATATTGCATCAAATTAATACAGGAATTTATTATAGAATTAACTGTTGCGTTAGTGACAGTCAAATGTCTTGGCTGTAAATACGACACTAGAAGAAAAGGGTTATTGTTGTAGATGTACCTTTCAGGATAATGTTATACCATTAAACAATTTTTTAGTGACTTTCAAATTTCTGGATTTTTAATCTGATCAGAAAAATGTAAACATGATTTAAGGTGATATTTTGCATTGAAGTTGATACTAACTTTTTGAGTTCTAAATTTGTATTGAAGGTCATCTTCAGTTGTTTTGTTTGTTGAGTTTAAGACCTGATACACTAACGACAACCAAAACTATTATAAGGAAATGCCATGCATACAATGAAATAACTGTCTCGTTTATAAAACATTTGTCAGACTGGTTGATTGTTATAATTTAACAAGTTTGATACCGATGATTGTTTATAGTATGACTTATTATTCTTATTTAATTACAAAATAAGAGAATAAATATTTGACTCGCCTGGTTCACATTGATTATCATGTCTATAAAAGATTTCATTACATCTACATGTTGAGCTTGTATCGTTAGTAAAACAACTGCCATTACCTACATTACAGTTATCTGGTGTTGCTATACAGTTTTCACCATAACCTGGTTCTATACAAAATATTATATGAAATCAAGTTATTATAAACAACATTACCTGGTGATGATGTACAATCATATATTTACTATATTATATTGCATCAAATTAATCCAACAAACGTTGTCAGTTAATAAAATTACAGTGTTAGCATGCCTTTACGAGTCACTTTCTTTAATAGTTTTCTGTTGGAACAACAAATAGACGCAACTGATAATAAAAATGAATTACAATGATCCATGCGGACCTTGTTTCATTTAAAGGCGATGGAAAAATGACATGAAATGAATTGCCCGGCCCACTGTCAAGGCGAAATCAGACTGGGAAATTCCGACAAACCTTCTGCACCAACACCGAGCATCATACTAATAACCTCCAGGTCGGTGAACCAGTCCCGCATACTCACGGGAAGGACATGGGATTTAGAGTTCTACTTTTCTGCACCGAATGAGCTAATGAAGAAGGATATACGCGATATGGTGTCCTGTGAGGGAGATTTTACCCGGATTGCGGCGCTACGACCTACTCATATTTCAAGGGTTCTTTTACTAGTACGCCAACGAGCAAAGTTTAATTTGTGAAGAAATTCATTTGTAATTTACGGTGTCCTATGAGGGAGATTTTATCCGGATTGTGGCGCTACGACCTACTCATATTTCAAGGGTTCTTTTACTAGTATGCCAACGAGCAAAGTTTAATTTGTGAAGAAATTCATTTGTAATTTACAGATTAAAACTCACTTTTTTCGCACCCTTTACTGGAATTAGAGTAGTATTCGGTGGTGTTACAACCACATCGCCCCTCTGAACATACCAGTGGTGCCAAACAAGGTTGAGTGGGCAAATTACAAGTTTCGTTGTACCCATTTTCTAAAATAAATAAGAACACATTGGGAAAAAAAACATGGTCAAACTTGAAAAGGCCGACACAAAAGTTATTATGTACGTTTCAACATAATCATCACAATCAAAAGTTTTCAAACATCATCAGACATCGACAGTTTTACTTTCATGCAAAATTAAATTAGTTCACGACCGTGTCTAAATGGGGAAGTGACAAGAATTATAGAAAGTATAAAATATTCATAATTGAAGATGTATTATTAACTTAATTTTTCGTCAATAAAAGTATGAGCTGTACGGTTACGTGTTTACACTATGTAATAATAGAGACTTTTGGCAAGCGTAAATTCCTGGTCCGTATCGCGTATCCGTAATGATTTTGCGTGTGACGTCATCAGTTCGTGTGTATTTCTCATACGTGATACGGCACACGGATACGGCAGCACGTATCGAACAGCTTTAATACGGAAAAAATCGTCGTCTTTTTTGCTACTTTTAGACGCTGAAATGTTGTGCCGTAGCGTTTTTATGAATCTATATATGTCTATCCTAGAACGAAGGTGTATATTTGATGTGATTTTAACCATGGCAAAGACTGGAATTTAATTATTAATTTGGATGAGATTTTCGCGGAATTTTCATATTTTCCTATCTGTATGCACGCTTGTTGATCTACGTGCTAAATTTAGGGAGGTGGGACCTTTATTTTTAATAAGATTCGACACTATTTTTTTTTTTTTTTTTTTTTTTTTAAAATAACTCCGCGAAAGTCGAACGACTTTACTCCCTTTAGGAATTTGTAGGCTAGGTACTTGACTAGTACTGATATTGATCTTGGTAGATAACTGCCATCATGCTGTAATAGAACTACGCTCAGCTCAGCTACCCATACGTAGACGGCGCAAAAATCTGCCAAAACTCTAAAACTAAATTAACGCAACGTATCACGTGACGATACGGATACGTTATACGGATGGGAAAAATTCCACTTGCCAAAAGTCTCTAATATGTACTTGTAACGAGTTATTAGATGCACAAACGAGCTACAAAATCGAATAACTGTACATAAAGAATTAAAGAAAGTACGCCCCGGAAACATTTAGATATATGGGGTAAGGGATTATTCAGAAATAATATTCCTTTCTTCAAAATTACGTACAGAATTAAAAACAGAAGAAATGAAAAAAACGCCCTACTTTGCTGCACCAACCGGGATAATCAAAACGGACATACGCCACGGTGTGTCACGAAAAAAGGTATTCACGGACAGTGGCTTGTCTGCCTTCTCGTCGAATACCAACCGATTACCTTTCAATATGAATTTCGACAATATTTACCATTATCTTTTCTTTTTTACGTGTTTATATAGTTTTAGTGATACGGTTAATAACTCCGTAAGTAATTATTGTAATAATTGTCCTTATAAGACGATCAAAAGGACATCGAAAAAAATAATGGATTACGACAATGATATGCTTAAATTTGAGACCCGATCATTAAAAGTCATATAGCTTTATTCTTTGGGACCTTAAAATAGACGAACATTGATCTAGAAACACATATTAATAATATGAGTGTATATAAAGTGATTTATTAATTTCTATTTATTCTATTGTAATTTGTAATCAATCATTTTCGGGGGAAATATCCGAACAGTCCAAATTGAACGACATTCGCTTGCACCTGCTTTGTCAATAATTCTACTCGTTTTTAGTGTTACTTTGAATCAGTCATTGTTTAATTACTTCAGCATTTTCTCGTCGGATATATTTTTCTTTGTTCATTTCAAACGGTGCTCGAAATCATATAATACACGACGTCGTGCATGGGTTCTAAAATGTTGATTGTTTCTTAAATACTAAATATTAGTATCCCATATTTTCACGGTCAGATAACTATGCTTCAACATTCCGATCTCAAAGATGTTGATAAAGCCTTCAATGGTGCATTTGGCAAAGAAACTTGATGGCCATTTACTCACAAGAGGCTAAGTGGATTATAAAACGTCGGAATAGTGACACCGTTGCTTTCGACAAAATTACATTTCAAAGCATGATACATTTTCTTATTGGCAATGCCATATTTTTTTTCTCCGGCGTGGTTTCCCCTTGTCAGTGGTGCAGGGTGGAGTGCCCGACAAGGACAGCTGTCTAGTCGATAACCCCTGGTCCCTTGTACACATTGGCGTGTGCGTAAAAGATCCCTCGGCAGTTGGAATTCGATATATGAGTAGGCCTTAGCGCCGCTGTCCGGCCAAATTTTTTCTCATAGCACACTGCATGGCGTATGGCCAGTCGGAGCAGAATAGTAGGACGTTAAACTCCATTTCATTTCATTTCAACTCCATATTTGTTGAGGATCAAGTAATACAGCAAACTATTAGCTACTAATGGGAACCGATCCCGTCCCAGATTAAAACTCACTTTTTTCGCACCCTTTACTGGAATTAGAGTAGTATTCGGTGGTGTTACAACCACATCGCCCCTCTGAACATACCAGTGGTGCCAAACAAGGTTGAGTGGGCAAATTACAAGTTTCGTTGTACCCATTTTCTAAAATAAATAAGAACACATTGGGAAAAAAAACATGGTCAAACTTGAAAAGGCCGACACAAAAGTTATTATGTACGTTTCAACATAATCATCACAATCAAAAGTTTTCAAACATCATCAGACATCGACATCGACACTTTTCAGCTAGGTTGACCCCCTGGGCTCCCGGTCTATATAAGACGATCAAAAGGACATCGAAAAAAATAATGGATTACGACAATGATATACTAACTCATAAAATGTTTGCTTAAATTTGAGATCCGATCATATAGCTTTATTCTTTGGGACCTTAAAATACACGAACATTAATCTAGAAGCACATATTAATAATATGAGTGTATATAAAGTGTTTTATTCATGTCTTTTTATTCTATTGTAATTTGTAATCAATCATTTTCGGGGGAAATATCCGAACAGTCCAAATTGAACGACATTCGCTTGCACCTGCTTTGTCAATAATTCTACTCGTTTTTAGTGTTACTTTGAATCAGTCATTGTTTAATTACTTCAGCATTTTCTCGTCGGATATATTTTTCTTTGTTCATTTCAAACGGTGCTCGAAATCATATAATACACGACGTCGTGCATGGGTTCTAAAATGTTGATTGTTTCTTAAATACTAAATATTAGTATCCCATATTTTCACGGTCAGATAACTATGCTTCAACATTCCGATCTCAAAGATGTTGATAAAGCCTTCAATGGTGCATTTGGCAAAGAAACTTGATGGCCATTTACTCACAAGAGGCTAAGTGGATTATAAAACGTCGGAATAGTGACACCGTTGCTTTCGACAAAATTACATTTCAAAGCATGATACATTTTCTTATTGGCAATGCCATATTTTTTTTCTCCGGCGTGGTTTCCCCTTGTCAGTGGTGCAGGGTGGAGTGCCCGACAAGGACAGCTGTCTAGTCGATAACCCCTGGTCCCTTGTACACATTGGCGTGTGCGTAAAAGATCCCTCGGCAGTTGGAATTCGATATAAGAGTAGGCCTTAGCGCCGCTGTCCGGCCAAATTTTTTCTCATAGCACACTGCATGGCGTATGGCCAGTCGGAGCAGAATAGTAGGACGTTAAACTCCATTTCATTTCATTTCAACTCCATATTTGTTGAGGATCAAGTAATACAGCAAACTATTAGCTACTAATGGGAACCGATCCCGTCCCAGATTAAAACTCACTTTTTTCGCACCCTTTACTGGAATTAGAGTAGTATTCGGTGGTGTTACAACCACATCGCCCCTCTGAACATACCAGTGGTGCCAAACAAGGTTGAGTGGGCAAATTACAAGTTTCGTTGTACCCATTTTCTAAAATAAATAAGAACACATTGGGAAAAAAAACATGGTCAAACTTGAAAAGGCCGACACAAAAGTTATTATGTACGTTTCAACATAGTAGGAGCAGAATAGTAGGACGTTAAACTCCATTTCATTTCATTTCAACTCCATATTTGTTGAGGATCAAGTAATACAGCAAACTATTAGCTACTAATGGGAACCGATCCCGTCCCATTCATGGCAAATGCAGATTTATATAAACATGAACAGGGATCACATTGGCTTTCAATTTTTTTTCGCCAAAATGGATCATAATTTTTATATAAATAATTGATGATATTTTTAATGATAAAAAAACAAAACATTGTAATAATAATAATAATAAATTATGTAAAACATTTTATTTTTCATATATTCTTAAACAATCATATACAATTTACAAAATCCACTTTAGCTTCACATTAGCCCAATTCAGAAATAACTTATGAAGATCTTGTTGATTTTTCGTTAATGTGATGGACATTACATTGACAATGTACATGTAGTAGGTTTTAAATAGTTTCTCCTATATGTTTTAACAAAACGATTGCAACCGGTATACACAATAATCTGCTAGTTTCTTTATGTACATTAACAAAATTTGATTTTTCTTTTAGGGCAAGATTCAACACATCATCAATGCTGTCTATCGGTTAATCAACATGTTTTAAATAACTTCTGAAAGACACAATCTCTGATAGACAGTCATTAACATCTAAATCAATTGTTTGAAAAAAATTACCTAACGACCTAATATAATACAGATGTACATCAGATAATTTACACAATTTATTTGAAACAAAACTACCCCCATTTTTCTTAAATCTACATTCCAAATTATTAACAACAACCTTAACATATGAATTCCTCTTTCAAAATCTAAACTGACTATACCTTCCGATACATTGATAACATAACACCTATCAATGATAAGTATTTAAAAAGTATTAAAATGAAATATATACTTCTGACTTACATGTAGTATTAAATAAACAAAAATTCCAGCATAGCAGCTGCACTTATTATATTATGGACTTGGATATATATATATATAAATAACAATAAATATAATGTCGGTATTTTCGACAAAACGCAATGATATAATTGAATAATATCTATTTGTTCCTAAATTGATAATTTTAACATTATTACCGTTTTCTTATCTGAATTATCGCCCTTGTTACATTATTGATAATGCTACGGAAGTTATTTATAAACCGTCAATGAGAGAGAGAGAGAGAGAGGGGGAGAGGGGGGTACGTCCACTCGACACAAACTAGGTCATTTCGGGACTAACATATGGTTCAATTTTATTTCAACAATTCGCTTGCGCATAGTGATCTTTAGCAATAGGAGGAAACCGGAGGACCCGGAGAAAACCCACGAGGATGGACTGGCGACCCTACTCCTTGTCACGTACAACCGGAAAATCGAAACTATGCCAGTTGACTCAGTGACAGACCTTATGATACAACCATTCGGTCATCCAGCCTCCCTGTCATTGACAGGCTACTGCTATAATGTGAGCACATCATGCAACCCTTGTACGTAATGAAAGAAAGACAATTTTCGAGGAGAAAATCGACAAAATGTTTTGAAAACGAAAGCGAAAGTCGCTTGCCCATATTATCCAGTTATCAGTCTGTCATGCTGATCGATCGATCAATGAAAAGCTCACTGGGAGCACGATCGCATGTACCTTCCCTCGTAATGCACTGTCGATTACGAACAGAAGAAAAGTCTGTTTTGGGACGATTTGTTGATTGAGTCGTAGGCAACTGTCTGCACTGTCAATAGGGTAAAGCGGCCCATACACGTTCATTTTTTTCGTCAATTAATTGATGGCAATTAATTTATATAGATATGATATCAATTAATTGGGCGAAATTGACCTTGCCCACAGACGATCAATGTTTTAGCGTCAATTTTCATTCTGATCGAAAACTTCGAGCCGTCAATAAATATCAAAGGAACTTTGATCCGTCAAATCATTGATTTAATTAAATTGTTTCAATTAATTTGCCGCCATACGCTTTCAATTTCTTCGTCAATATCAATTAATTGACGAAAAAATTGAACGTGCATCGGCCGCTTAATCCGCCTCTGCGTTATTGAAATTGATAATAATGAATTAGAAGTTTAGCTTGTTTAAAAATGCATTATGAAAGAGCTAAATCTACTTCTGTAGGTCTTTTTTTCTGGCTTGAACATTATTATTTTAAAGGGACCATCCCGATTTTAACACTTTGTCACAAAATTTCAGCTCAAAATATTGAGTGGTTAGGAGGTGAACGTCAAAACCGCTTATTCGGACCTTTTTAAGAATTCGAGTCAATTTTTTTCGTTGGGTGGCCTGATAATCTATTGCAGTTCCTTTAGAGGACTAAACGGTGTATGACCCACGTGCTGTACTTGATAGCGAAAGGTAAGTTAAACCTACACGTTATGTTTATAAAGTAAAAGACTGGTTTTATCGAGACAAGGTATAATGCAGTTTCGGACACCGGTCCCCATTTCCAGATGAAGACTGACGGGTTTAAGTTGTTTAAAAAAGTATCACGTATATTAAGTTAGTTACCCGGCCCTTAAGCGGTGGCCACATTAGCCGAATCGATCGGCGCCGAATTGCAGCCGAATGAGTAGACACACCAGGGGAATCCTTCGTCTGATTCACCAGTCGATTACATCACCTTTTACGTCACAAGATTAAACATGGCAGCGACCATGTGTTCAAGTAATCACGTGACTTCTCGACATAAGTGGTGATTGGCTAATGAATTCTACAATTGGGCGAATGCTTGGGCGAAGCGGACACAATAGGCGAGTATAATTCGGCCGATATTAAACATGCCAAATGACTGTGGACACACTAGGCGAATATCGGCGTCGATTGATTCGGCAGAATCATTCGGCTAGTGTGTCCACCGCTTAAGGTAGGGGATTTTAAGGGTTTTTAAAACAAAATTAAGCAGTTTTATTCTCCGAAATATAATAAAGATTGGCTCTTTAACATTTATTCACATTTATAGAAGGACGGTCAGCTCTTTTATTTAAACCTTAGATCGTGTTTTTCTGTATACTTACTGAGGATACAGGTGTTGTTAATACATGCATATTCTGTCTGGTTTTCAGCAGAACTTGTACAATTTGCCAACTCGTTTTCCATACATTGATCACCTTCATCACACCATACCTAACAATATGTTAAAAAAAATATCATCATAGTATATCATCACACCATACCTAACAATATGTTAAAATTATATCATCATAGTATTGATAGGTATCAGGTTCAAATTGTGAGGTATAATTAAAAGTAGAAAATCCAAGGTAAAGGAGGAAATCCTTATAAAAGCGATATTATCGTGGTGGAAACATTTAACTTTATGCATTTAACGTTTAAAAACTTCAACTTTTCCAACTTTAAATCGCCCAGATTCTACTTTCATCGGCATCAGCTTTTGACTTTCAATTTTCTATCACCATCCCCTCTGGCAGACTAATTAAATATGCAAGTGTCTTACGGTTTCCTCCCACTGCTAAACCCAATCATTTAAATAAAGATAGGCCACGATCTGTTAGTCCACAATATAATAAAAGAAACAAACTGAATTAAACTAGAACGAAACAAAGCGAAATGAAATAGAATGAAAGACAACAGAAGACATTACTTATGAATAAGTTTCTTTTTGTAAAGTGATTGAAATCTCTTAGTTGTTGTAAATTAAATAAAGGCAAAGCAAGAAATATGGCTATATAGATTCATATGGTAATGGATAAGATACGAGAGAGTAAGCCATTAGATCTTCAAAGTACTGGACGAGAGCGTGTCATTATCGAAGACTAAACAGTTCTTTATTCGTGCAGTGTTCATAATTCTTAGTTTTTTTTTAATAGTCATAGTTCTTAATTCTTAATATTCATAGTTATTAATTCTTAGTTCTAATATTCATAGTCCTTAATTCGTATTTCTTCATTTGTTGTCATATTTTGACATTGGTATAATTAAATTAACATTTGTATCTTAAAATCAAAATTTGTTTTACAAATCTAATTTAAACAAAAATACAATTTGTAAATCTGATACGACTAATGTTAATTTTCAAATACAAATGTCGAAATACGAGAACAGATGAAGAAATAAGAATTAAGGACTATGAATTGAGAACTAAGAATTAAGAACACTAAATAAAGTGCTCCATAAGTTACTATATAGGTATGACCCACACCGAACCTGGCGGGGCTTGTTCCGCCTACACGTAAATTCGACAATTAACTATACAGGTCTATTGTACGTAACTGTATGTACACTTTGATAGCAACAATAATACCCGAAAGAATTCAAACTTCTGTATGATAGTGTACGTATGAAGAGGTTTTTATTTTAATATGTCCTGGGCTATATATATAACACAATCAACATATCGTCTACCCTGTTAAACATGAATAGAATATCTTAAGACTGATACAAACCAGGAAGTATCTACTTCTCGATTTCAAACAAAATATTACTGTTCAAACATTTTACTGTTATCTAGGCCTATTTCAACCTGTGATACGGACTATAGTTTTAATGTTTTGTAGTATATAACTAAGCCCTACCACGTAATACTATCCAAGACCTTTATGCAACATATTAATATATACCAACATCCTGGTAAACGGTCTTATATTTTCATTTCCATGACCAGAGAGTTTGAGTCCGACCCGGACACGGTTAGTTTAGACGGGCCCCATAATATTATTATTATTAATATTATTACAAAATATTTATAGTGCGCCCTTTCATATAACATGTTCAAGGGCACTTTGCAAAGTGACAATGTAATCATAAATAAACAACAAGATTATGGATATGATAACGATTGTGTACAGAGTCAGTTAAAAGCCTGATTAAATAAATGTGTTTTAAGTTGTTTTTTTAAAAGAATATAGAGATGTACAACATCTAAACTAAATGGTAGATTATTCCATTAAACAGGTACTTGATAACTAAACGAGCGCTTGACCATAAGAGACGAGTCGAGCTGTTGGACTTTAAAGGTATCTGATGTACGTAATGTTTGGCCAGGTGTATAAAGTTCTATAAGATCTGAGAGGTAAACAGGAGCTAAATTATTTAAACATTTAAAAGTAAGTAATAAAATCTTAAAATCAATTCGATATTTAATAGGTAACCAGTGTAAATTATATAAAATAGGCGTTATGTGGTCGCATTTCTTAGCTGCAGTATTCTGTACTTTTTGTAAACCAACTAAAAGTGAATTAAAGTTATCTTATCGAGAAGTGACCAGAGAATTAACAAGTGACTTAGTGGCCTCTACAGTTAAAAATTTACGTATTTTACCTCGACGAAAGGCCAAGTATTCGAATCAACATTTATTACAAATTACGTTTTAAAACAAGGCGAATCCGATAATATAGGGTTAAAGCAGAGGAAGGATCATATTCCTAGGTAAAGTTGTTGTGTTTACAATTCAAGGATTAATACTATAATATATTCTGCTTCCCGTAACATGGTCACATTGTTTTCGTTCGTTTGTAAAGTTTAACGTCAGCATCCACCGACTGTGATATCGCACACACGACATGATCACACGTAACTTCAATTGTTTTATATTATTGTAACGTCAAAGTAGCTGATCGTCACCTGTATTTTTTCGAACATGTAATTTACACCAAAACGTACCCCAGCTGTTTATCTAATATTTAATTAAGAAAACAAAATCGAAAAATCAACAGTAGGTGATCTACAGGACCGAATTCAATCGGATTTAAAAGGGGGCCATCAGAAGATTTAACGAATATTTCAGTTGGCGCTGACTTTTTTGAGCAATTCGTTTGTTGGATATTTAGCGTTTTATGAATAGATTATTATTATTATTCGGTTTTTGCATCGCGTGATGTGGATATTTAATGTTGACAAATTTTGAATTCATCATTCTTTTTTAAATACTAAACTGAACTGAACAAATTGAGGCTGGTTTTCCTATTAGAGATTCGACTTTCATAATACAACAAACATATACAGGATCAAATGAAATACATATCCTGTATTAAAGGTTCATTAAAATCCATGTTTGTGTTTCTTTCCGTTCCGGTGTGGTTTCCCCTTGTCAATAGAGTAAGTGTAAGCCGGAAGACCTTGTAACTGCAAGACGAATTTCTAGTCCTTCCGATTGGACAACAAAACATAGGTGCCGTTTACTCATTGGCATGCACGTAACATAATCTATGAAAGTTGATTTTCCATTGCTTCCCGGGCAAAATTCATGGCGTATTCTCTTCTTCTTCTTCATCCCTGTTGGGGGGGGGGGGGGGTGGATGGCCGAATGGTTAGCACGTGCGTGCTGTATCATAAGACCTGTCATTGAGTCAACTGGCGCGGTTTCGAATCCCCGGTTGTACGTGACAAGGAGTAGGGCCGCCTGTCCAGCCTCGTGGTTTCCTCCGGTTTCCTCCCACTGCTAAAGACCCCTACGCGCAAGCGAATTATTGAAATAAAATTAAACCATATGTCAGTCCCGAAATGACCTAGTTTGTGTCGAGTGGACGTTAAACCCCATTTCTCTCTCTCTCTCTCTCTCTCTCTCTCATCCCTGTTGGAACAGAAGAGTAGGGCGTTAAACTAAATTCTGTTCATTCATTTTATGTTTCTTTCTAAAAGACGTGTACTCTTTATAATGTGGACGAATAAACTGTTATTATACTTGTACAGTATGTGTAAAGTACGATACACAGCAATAGTTAAACCCAAAACGGAAGTATAAATTACTCACATAAGCATGACGTGGCATGCTAGTTTTCTTGTCCAATCAAAATAGTATAATACACAAGTCACAGTTTTGTGGAATACAATAGTGATAGTCAAGTGTGATATCGGCTGCTGTTATTACAGGCGCGTGTTCAGTTGGCGGGGGGGGGGGCAGAGGTATAAAACCCCCTCCCCTGCTCATGGAGAGGGGGCCTAGGAGAGGGCCTATTCATTTGAAAGAGTAAATGTCCTTCAGAAATGGCCTTAGATGTCAGAAAATCGACTTCAAACTTTCACAATTTTCTCGGGAGATCCCCCCCCCCCGTACCCGCCTCATGGCTCTGCGGTCAGTCACGCCGGAACACCCCCGCCCCGCCCCCTTCGATCATTTTTCTTCACACGCTCTGTATTAGTATTGCCATAATCAACCTTGATCACTCTCAAAATGTCTCTGGTTGGGCAGCTTTAACCTTTACATGTATACATTGTCGTGTTATATTTTTTCATCGATTGATAAAGACAAGAGAGAAACCTTGTCGGTAATAAACTGTCATTGTATTACATGGAATTGTGATCTGTGTAATCCAGTTTAATTACTAAAGCTACTGAAACAAAATATTATAATGTTTTAAAAATGTTCATATGGTATAATTGGCTTGAGAGTTGTGGTCTTTAAAGGCTCAATACCACTCTTTTTGTAACTGAATCCAATGTCACAATCTTTATTCTGGTCAACAAATTGTACTATTTTAGAATATTTCAATTAATTGATGATACAAATTTCATCTTAACACACCTTATTTAAAAATTTTGAAAAATTCAACATAATGGTTTGAAACGTCTAACGTAAACCTTTTCAAATGAAACTTCGATTTAAAAATATTTTCGAACCCTCTGGACAAGTAAAATAAGATGTAATGGATAATTTACACAACAGGATCATGAAGCTTACCTCTCTGAGTGTATTTTTAATTTTATACGCATTCTTTCGATCGAATAATAACCGCTTCAGTAACACCTTTAAGCGTGTTGCGGCAGCCCTCAGCGTGTCTATTGGGTGCCCGGGTGGGTATATAATGCTACTAAGCCCGTATGACCCCGTAAAAAGCGGAACATTAATTCTCGATTCGACAGTTTTGACCGAAGTGTGATAAAGCCCGTAAATCGAATGTATAGTTGTGTTTGTGCGGCATGCGTGTTCAAAAGTAAATAATCCCATCCGAGTGGCTAATCAAATAATTAGAACAAAATATTTCAAAAAGTAAAGCTATAAAATTTGCAGAGATTTTACTAGAATGTAAAAGACGGTAACTAAATACAGGAATGCGGGTAGTTATGTGTGCGAACGCTCAAACTCAATGCCAATTGTCGTAGGTATCCAGACCACTCGGACCAAAGACTACTCGGACTAAGACCAGTCGGACCAAAACAAGACCAGTCGGACCAATTAAATTATATTATAAGGCTAGGTAATATGCTATTTATTTATTATTAAATCACAATACAAAGAAGCAAATAATTCTTATACGGAATTCGTATATTTAAAGTTGTTTGGTTCAATTTTGTGTACGGAAAATAAATCAACGATTAGTTTTAAAATTAATTAATAATGGTGCCAAAAAAAAATATCAATCTAATTTTTCTTTACTCTTGCAATGAGACTCGGTATGTCCAGACTTTTGACAGTTTCTACATATACGGGTATACTGTTCTTGTCTGATAGCCTAATTTTACTTTTTCCACATTCGCGGTATCCCCAGTGGTTTCATTCCGTTCTACCCCACTAACCCCTGGGTTACTATATATGGGGGTGGGGGGGGTGGGGGGTGGGGGGGAGACACGTTTTCAAGTTATCCGCCCTTGATGCGTTAATATAAACAGCACATAATAATACGAAGACCGGACGTTTATATGCCCCTTTTTAAACGTGACTACAAGTGTGGTTCTCGATATTTTGCGATTTGGAATACAATTATCAATTTATTCAAACAACACGTTATTATTAGTTCGAGTAGTCATATTAAAACACACACAATTAGCAATTTATTCAAATAACACTTTATTATTGGTTCGAGTAGTCATATTAAAATAAACACAATTATCAATTTATTAAAATAACACTTTATTATTGGTTCGAGTAATCATATTAAAACAAACGCAATTATCAATTTATTAAAACAACACTTTATTATTGGTCCGAGTCGACTTTCTGTTGGGTCCGAATAGTCTTTTTGTATGGTCCGAGTAGTCTATTTGTTTGGGCTGAGTGGTCTATCAGTTGGTCCGACTGGTCTTTAACCGAGTGGTCTTTGGTCCGAGTGGTCATGGATTCTTGTCGTAATTGTACTTGAATTTCGACCTATGCTGTCACCCCTAATACGAAATGATATCTTCCGCAGAGTGACGTAACCATCTTCCATATTGGTATTTTTCTCTGGGAAAAGTTTGTGATATTTCAATTTTTCAAGAGAGAACTTGTTTTCATCGTTGTGATAATTAGTTGTGCAATGGATTTTATCGAATGGGAGTTGATTACAAACACACAGGTAAGTTTATTATAACCAAAGTTAAGTAGTTTGTTCATAATCGAAGAAATCCGTTTAAAATTTACCAAGACTCAGACAGTAGCTCGCTAGCCTGGAGGTCGGGTGTTCGATCCCTGCATTGGCCGAGAAAGTTCATCCAGATTTTCCGGCGTGGTTCTCCCTTGTCAGTGATGCAGGACGGAGGGGCTGACAAGGAAAGCTGTCTAGTCGTTCGTATGGGACGAAAAACCGAGGTCCCGTGTACACATTGGCGTGCACGTAAAAGATCCCTTGGCAGTTGGAATTCGATATAAGAGTAGGCCGTAGTGCCGCTGTCCGGGCAAAATTTCCCTCATAGCACACTGTATGGCGTATGCCCGTCTTCATTAGCCCAGGTTAGGAGCAGAACAGTAGGACGTTAAACCCCATTTCATTTCATTTCATTTCAAACCAGCAAGAGTGTTATTGTCCCTTTAACAGTAGGGAGGAGTCGGAGAATACCGAGAAACCCACGAACTTAACCACTCTACCGTATAGTATGCCATGTACACCCGTCGGACCGAAACCATGGAACTTATATTAATGACAGACCTTAAGATCTAAAGTACAGACTTAATTTAGACCACTTAAGACACGCAACCCATTTGTCAACTACCGAAACATTTACACAGCGTGAAATGGAGGGACGTATAGCCAACTCCACAAGAAAAATGACATTTATATTTCTTCGAAAATGTATTCGAATAATTGCACAAGACTACGGTAAAAGTTTACGAGAAACTTGTATCGCTAATTCACCAGTTATAGTCACTCACATACCTGGAACGGTTCGTTTGAATGTGAAGCTAAAGTATACAATAACTCATTCTGCACACAGAGAACTACCTACTTTGAGAATAGATCTCTGTCCCAAATGACTGCCATAATAAAATTATACAATTTTGTCGTGTTGTTTTATAGTCCGTGTTATATCTTTAAGACACACAAAGAGAAAATTAACAATTTCAATTTAATTAATTAGATATTAAAATGGAACCGGAGTAAATACATGTAGTATACTTTGTGTTCTCGGCTAGATTCGCGTACGTTTTCAAGTTTTGTTTGTAAGTGGGCCTAATTGTAGACACACGGTGTAAGTTTCGAATGATAACCTATATTTTATAAACTAGTTGTGTTCAGACCAGCACGACGCGAGAAGTTGACAAAGCATATTACTACCTTGTCACTCATACACGACATACGAGCGTATTTTATATTTCCAGTCAGTAATAGTCTAGAAATTATTCCACCAATGATTAAACTCCAAGTAAACATGTTAAATTTATAAGCACAGAAATATAAATGTAATAACATACTTCTTACATACCTATTTATTTGCTCACATTATTATAGGTATCGGGTAGTCTCCCCCTAAAAAAACTGCATAACTCTTTACTTGACTAACCTTGAACAATTGTTGTACTGCGATCATAAAATTTTGTTGCACGTTTCATATCAAATTGTGATGTAAATGTAGGTCGAACATTTAGGTAAAAATCTAGGAAAAGGGTTAATAAAAATAAAATGTAGTAAAACGCAACATCGGGGTCGGAAAGTACCTTATTCCTTAGTGTACCTAACCAGGTGGTCAGTGTGAACCACGCCCCGTTCACACCCTGTCCCCATTATCTCCTCCTATGACGATTTATTTTCACCAGGTGTTATTTGGAGCCCTCCAAATATATGTTTGAGACATACTTACCCCAGGAAGTAAAACTACCAATGTACAAGCCACAAAACCGAAGTACATAAATTTTAAAATCATACTGATTAATCCTTAATCTGTAATCAGTTTAACTACTTTTAATATGAATTTAGCAGCACCTCGGTTTAAATTGATATATGTTTTTCAACTGAATCACAACACCGTAACAATTTAACTTTGTGCATCCTACTTTTAATAATATCTTACTCAAATGACATACAATAACTAGAACGGGTATATGTGATTCGAGTAAATTTATACTTCCTTCTTGTGTTATAACGGACTATTCTTAGTACAGTTTATTATCATTGGGCAATTCATTCTAAGCAGGTTGCACAGTGTTAAGCTATGATATTATAGACTATTTCAATGAGTATTATTGTGTCACCGTTCAGTAAAGCTACATTTAAATGGAGACATATTCTAACAAAAATCGGTATTGCCAATACAAACCGAATTCAAATAATTATTTCTCATGCTTTCTTTGATATACTCTCTGAAAGAGACTATGTTTGATCATGTAAATGTCCAAAGTTGGCAAATTTTCTATTATAATTTTCGGTTAGATTACGTTCGAAACTAAATGAACTGTTTGTTAATCAACATTTGCATATCGTTCATAGTACAGCGACCTCGTATACCATGGAGTAACCTCTATAACATTGTCGATTTATATGCTTTAATGCTGTTATAGCTTCTAAATATAATTTTGAAATTCTTACATTTTGAATTTAAAAATCCTCCAAAATCAGTTCAGTGCAAATAAAATGAACCTCATTTAAACCGAATTGAAATGACAATTTAGCAGTAATAAATGTCCATATAAACAGTTGGTACATTAACGTACATTATATATTTGTGTCAATGCAACAAGGATTTGTTGTGAATTTAGCTTTAGCTATTTAAACAAGAATTCGTTGTAAATTTAGCTTTAGCTATTACGACAAGTCTATCGAAATCCTGGTCGTTTGTATGACAGAGTTATTGCTCTTGGCCTTAATTTTCATTTTAAACAGATTGCTCTGAGTATTTGATTAGCTAGCCGTATTGAACCAGGGCTGTCGGTAATTATTCACAGATGATTAGCAGCACTGCTAATCAAAAAGTTCAATTTTGGCAAATTTGATTAGCAAATTTAAAAATTGATTAGCAGTTTTTCAGTTTCAACATAAAACACCTAAATAACAAGATTAATTCAATTTTAATTTATAACAAATGATTAGATTTTATTCTTAAGATTTTTTCGAATTTTAGCACTGCTACGGGTAGCTGTGAACATTTCTGAATGTAGACTTTTGGTTAGGCCTTATGTCTGAAGCCAATTCTTGGCAGTGGCTTCCGAAGTCCCACTCATTTTAATTCTTATTTCTTCGTTAGAAAACAATTTCGTCTGCTTTTTATCGTGTGTTACTATTTTTGTTCAATCGGACGCACACGGTATTTTACGAATAATCTCGATTAACTAGACGCACGCGATATAAACAATAATATTTTACGGGAATTCTTACTTTGATTTCTCATTTTTATAATACGTTTACACGTATTTATTTTTTTATATTTTATTTACAATACGTGGGGGATACACTGAATTTTTTTTTCAAATTGAATACTGATATAATTACTCGAAATTGACATGTCTCGCAACGTGAGCGGTACTACTTGATTCCCTATTTCAGGTTTAATAGTCCCAATTCATAGAGTCTGGGTAATTCAAGAAGAAAATGTCACACGGAGAATTCAGTTTTGTTTATAAAATTTATTTGATATTTTATATACGTTGACATTGTTGAGAAATATGGATAAATCTTCGTGTCAAAATCCAAAATGACAGGCATGTTAATGATTCGAAGTTACTGCGAATCAAAAACGTTAGATTTTAATTTTTGATTAGCAACGGACAACATGTGTATCACAAATTGCGCTACGATACTGGTTGTTGGCAGCCCTGTATTGAACGCACTGACTGACTGATTGCCATTGCAGGTTGTAATTTGAAATACAATTAAGGGATGTGGGTTATTGCTCCAGACAACAAAATATTTGTACACGGTATGCACATTTATTGAAATAATTTGAAATACAATTAAGGGATGTGGACTATTGCTCCAGACAACAAATTATTTGTACACGGTATGCACATTTATTGAAATCCTTAAGTGAATATTCAGTTAGCTACAACAATCAAGCTTATAAAATTACTAGCTGAGTTAACACCCCTAATCCTGACAATCATGAGCCCGAAGTTATCCCCACAATTCAGTTTTGAAACATTTTTGTGATTGACCAAGTTGCCACGGAAACAATAAATAAAAGTTACTGCGTCTAAACTTTGGTGGTTCGACATGAATTGATTATTAGACAGTCGTGTGTATATTTTATTTAAATTTTCAAATTCAAGGAATCATTTGTGTGCATTACAAAGTTTCAAATTCAAGGAATCATTTGTGTGCATTACAAAGTAATGGACATATATTTTGTTCCATACTACTAATTACTGTTCAAAACACAGACGTTACCCCTGAAATACAATAACTGAGCTTAGCTCATCCTTATTAGCGCATCCTGGAACATGTCGGTTGTGGGTTTTGGTTCCTGGTCACACGACTACAACAGTCGCCAAACGATTTGTATAAAATGATATAATTGTTGTGTGAGCCAGTATTCTGTAGTAATATCTTGTATAGCAGACGCTTTATTGCACTGGTCACGTGATATTCGATTGTTTATTGCAGAACAACTATGTACCATCCCGAGAAACTATCTAGACACAAAAACTCTTTGTTTCTACCAACACAAACAACACAACAATAATGTAAATGAGACACATCTTATGTGTCACACTGCTATATAAATTTCCTCACAAGCATGTGACATAAACTCTTTATAAGAAACCAAGTAAGTATTATTGAAATTTTACGAGATTTATGTCTGGTATTGCATGTTGTTATATTAGACAGTCTATATGTAATATTTACTACATTTGTCAGTAATAGAGTTATACCATCTCTTAATGAACCCACACAGCTATCCGACATAGGGATTTTAATTCAATCAATACATGTATTCTCGCTTTCTCACATACTTAAAAAAATGTGACAAAGTATGGATATTATGTATGTATTTGACGTTTAAATTCTAAATAAAACAAATTCAGAGTACTCACATAACCAGACAGCATAGAACCCACGTACAGGGTACATATTATTTGAAAATGCAAAACAAAACGTGCATACAATATACAAAGTATACAATTACAAAAGTTATGGGTGCTCACAAATTCAGAGCAATCACATAACCAGAAAAGTGGAACCCTTATACAGGGTATATATTGTTTGAAAATACAAAATAACATACTTGCATTCATAAAATAATAATAAAATATCAAGCAAATTACATATCTGTCATCTCTCCGCAGAAAGAGAAATAAACAAAGGTTGCGACACTTGTGGCTATAATACTCAGTGAGTCGAATAAATTTTCAAATGAAAAGTTTAGACCAGTATCGTCAAGGGTCGGATATATATATTGTTTTCTTAACTTCATATTTTTTGGCATTCCAGTAAAAAATGTTCGGATTCCGTTTTGTTTGTATTGCATTGATTGCAGGGGCGATCCTTGGGCGGTATCTTAAGATATCTATCTACGCCTTCCAATGGCCACCTGGTGAATACTAAATCGTAGGGTAGACATCGCCATTTTGAACTTTTTATTATTAACAACCTCTTACCCGAAGGTTCGAAGTTTATGGTTCGTCCATAAGGAGATCATTAAGCTTACTTCTATTGAACATCTAATATTCTGTCTGGAAATTGTTGACGGCTTTCAATTGGTAATTCTCTTGTTCAGTATAGATTTTCAGTTGGGTTATCGTTTAGTTTAATTTGTGCAGTCAGCATATCATGTTTTAATCGTTTGCAATCATGGTCAAACCATTTATTTTTCTTTCGTCGTTTCTTTATGGCTAAACCAATTCAACACAGACCTTATAGCATAGCTGTACACTATTTTGATTTGGTTTTAGATCGACCATCATGAATTGGTTAATGGTCTATATGTAAAAGAGTTTGGTTTATGTAGTCCAGTCAAGAAGGCTTCATCCGAGTTTCCCTGCCAAAGAAACTTCCCAACAAGCTTTTGCCCCTATTACATCATCGTGGTTTTTAGGAGAAATATGTTTATTCACTTAAGGGTTAACCTCGGTTGGACGGATACTATTAGTTTTAATTTTACATGATGTCAATGTCGATATTCGCATACGTGAAATTTGGTCGAGGTTTTTGATACGCCAGTTAAAGGGACAATAACACTCTTGCTGGCTTGACAGCTCCAGAAAATAAAAAAATAGCCTTATTCTAAGTACTAGATGTGTTGGTGTCCTACCTGTTGTGTAAATTATCCATTAAATCCTATTTTACTTGTCCAAAGGGTTCAAAAATATTTTTAAATCCAGTCAAGTCACATTTGAAAAGCTTTACGTCAGGCTTTTCAAATCATTTAGTTGAATTTTACCAATTTTTTAAATTAGGTGTGTTAAGATGAAATTTATGTCTTGGAATATTGTAAAATAGTACAATTTGTTGACCAGAATAAAGATTGGGACATATTATTCAGTTACAACAAGAGTGGTATTGAGCTTTTAAAATATATTCGACCGCACTACATCCCTTGTAGTTTATGCAAGTATATGCTCTGAGAAAATCCCCTACGCACCTACCATTTAAAATACATGTGTTAGTGCCATTGCATAAATTGATCAGATTTCTCCCACAGATTATTATCTTTTTGCCATTTTTATTTCTAATTTTGAGAAAGTTGACGTTGGAGATTTCGTTAATTATGTTTGGGTATGGTAAATTGATGTTGGATGAAGTATTGTCAGAAAACACACTGATATCCCCCACCCCATCCCACCAAGAAGGTTATCACCAAGAGCTTGGTATTTTGAGATATCTTGCTCAAGAATATGAAATAGGTTGTACCTTTTGCTCAGCCATATTTTGCAATTATAGGGAGGAATGTACACCGTTGGTATATGAAAAGACCCTTTTGTAAATTTAAAATATCTTTTGATACTTCAATCCAAATAATGTCCCCATCTTTTTGGTCTAGTATTTGAATTGTGTTCTTAAAATAAGTGTTAACAAAATAGCACACTCTCTACTGAAAATGTTGCCGCTGCCCATACCGTTTACCTAAATGTTAGTCCTGAATATCCTTTGAAAACACCATCGAAAACTCCAACATCGGGGCCCTGTTTCTCGAAATCTTAATTTAAGATAAAATCCAAATTTTAGTACATACTTCAATTTTGATTGGCTCAGCACTAAAATCAATCTAATATTATCCAATCAATTTACTAAAATTTGGATTTTATCCTAGTTAAAATTTCGTGAAACAGGCCCCAGTTTGTTTAAAGTTGGTCCAAGTTTCTACAAAACACACTATGTCTAAGTTGTTTATCATTTGAAATAGATCAATGTGGGTTTTGTCATTTTTGATCTTCGACAAGAAGCCATTGATGTTCCAGAACCCCACACTTAATGCCATGTCTTAGTTAATTCAATAATAAAAAGACCAAAAAATATTAACAGAATGTAAGTATAAAAAGTACTGAACCTACTCATTAAGCTGGTCCGGTGTATTTACGGTATCAACTTTGATTCCCTTTTATCGTCTATGCTGAAACCAGTAGATTCAAGAAACTAAACATTTTATTTTAGATTTGGGTTTGTATGGTGATGAATGAACGCCACAGACAATAGTCCGCCATATTTCAGACGCACTCTGGTATGTCAGATTTGTAAAACAAACTTGACACTTCATTGCTGAGATGTACAATCGTTAAAAGCATAAAGTTTTAAATTACTATAGTCGTTTAAATTATGTTGTGGCTTTCACGAATTTAAATGGACAATCCAAGTACCTTGCCCCCGAATAGGCCAGCACTTTGACTTTTAAAAATACCTTGCGTCTAAAGTTTTGAGTATAATATTATTGGCTAGATTTAGATTTGTAAATTTGATAATGGGATCATTTAACCCGAGCAAAATAAATGTGAGTATAAATATTTTTATATTCCGACATTTGAAACAGGGACGCCTGAAGAGTTATCCCCCTTCATTACGAAATATTGTTAGAATTTTATTAGCTGCAATTAAAAATATATGGGAAAATATAGCCACCACGCCCACTTTGTCTGATTGCCCCTTTATTCCGTCTGTTCTTTCAGTTGCATGTCGAAGTTGTGCCTTTTACTATTTAGACTTTTTTGGGGTTGTGTCAATTCATGAGCAAATCTCAAAAATCATATAGCATTTTTTCACAATACTTATCACATATTACTGAAGTGGTGTCTTTTTCTAGTCAGTAATTTTTAACGCTTTTTTCCGAGTCTATGCATAATAACGGACTGGGGGTGGGCGTGATTATTTTCGTAACTGTCTTCATACAACAACCAAGAACTAAACTGGTGATTTACTCAAATACAAACGCAAAAATTTAGCAGGAATGTTTATAATCATGTCATTAACAGAACAAAGGAACACCAAAGGTCATAGAATACTACCCTGGGGGACACGGCTGGTTACACTAACGGATCGAAAAGTGTGTTACTCACATTTTAAATGTGTTTCTTGTCGGATAGCTATGATTGGAACCAAATCATTGAGCTGACGCCTGAGTAAAAACGCTTAGTAATTCTAAAAGCATCATACCTGTAAAATTTATTTTAAATTGTGTTCCTTGGCGCTGGCGCAGTCTAATAAATAATTAAATATGTGCCGGTCGGGTATCATATCACCATTCTGATCGATGGTATAGACCAAATTACTCTTCTTAACATATGTTTCGATCTGCATTGATTTCTCTACAATTTGGAGTCAATGTTAAGGACGCCCAGGCCTGTAGTTGCTTACATGTAGTGAACTATTATTCATGTATAATGGCTTAACCGATGACAGTTTTAAGATCTCCAGAAATTGTACTTTCAGAAACTGTTACACTTTTCATATGATTATTTCTAAAATGGGATGGGGTTTAACGTCCACTTGATACAAACCAAGAAACTGAATGAAATGACACGGGATTTAACGTCCTACTGTTCAGCTCTGACTGAGCATACGCCATAGTGTGCTATGAGGGAAATTGTGCCAAGACAGCGGCGCTACGGGCTACTCTTATATCGAAATCCAACTGCCAAAGGATCTTTTACGTGCACGCCAATGTGTACACGGGACTCGGTTTTTCATCCCATCCGAAAGATAAGATCTGCACCACTGACAAGCGGAAACCAGGCCGGAAAATCCCGACGAACTTCCTCGGCAAACACCGGGATCGAACCCGCGACCTCCGGCCTTGCAAACCGGTGACTTAGCCACGGTGGCTCCCACACAAACTACGTCATTTCGGGACTAACATGTGTAAATTTTATTTCAATAATTCGCTTGCACGTAGGGGTCTTTAACAATGGTAGGAAACCGAAGGACCCGGAGAAAACCAAGAAAGTTTGACAGGCGACCCTACTCCTTGTCACGTTCAAGCGAGAAATCGAAACCACGCTACTTTACTTAATGACAGACCTTATGATTTAACACGCACGCGTTTTTTTTCTTGTAAATATATTTATTCAAATATACAAAATATCTTCTATATCTGTTTTACATAAAGGTCATATATATTATTATCAACAATATTTACTTATATAATTTGTCCAGTTGAAATCACTGAATGATAGTGAACTTGAAGAATAAATGTACAAAATTTGAAACAATTCATCTTATATAGATAAGCAAGTATTAAACTCAATGTAATCTCCAGATATTACAAATATTCAAAACAAAAATGTACTCCAAGTTGATATTTTTTCTTTGATGTTAAAGAAAACAAGCTATAATATATCATGAATAAGCTTTTTTTTAGCAATCATCATTACCTTAATTACATCTTTTAATCGGCGGAGCAGTTCATTGCTGATTAGTTGGGGGTCAGGATTTTGAGGGTAATAAAATTTGTAGTCGAAATGGGAGTGAACCTTTTTTAGACGTCAACAACAGGGATAGTTTCTCGGATAACACTTCTACAATTCGGACATAATCGTACAGTTTCCGCGCATACGCCACAACATATGAGATGACTACATGGTAAAAATTGAACCTCTGGTGGCCTATCTTTGCAGATACAACACATTACATAATTCCTCCTGTTTGATACAACTCTGCCTTCATCATCTAGAATTTAGAGAGAAAAAGAGAACAACAATATTATACATGGTGAACATTTACAAATTGTCTCTTTCCATCTGAAAGCCCCAAGAGCTGTTGAGTTTGAAGAATAATATGAATTCTGGCTAGTATTTGATTTCCACCAGATTTTTTTTCAACTTTGTAAAGATCCTGTGTCTAAAAGTTATTTTGTTTAAATTATCGAGTAAAAATTTGGAAAAAGTCTTTCATTTTATATTCAAATCTTTTTAAATTGTTGATTATGCGAAGCAGTTATGATATAAACAAAAAGAGACAAATGTTGACTAGCTTACATTCTTCAACGACTGAATTCTGATCACGGTGTGTATTTCGTCTATCATCTGTAATTATAAAAAAGAAGAATATATTTTATAACAACAGTAATATTGTTTATTCCGGTAGAGGGGTTTGTTCATTCGTTTGCAGGGATTACCGTTCGCTTCCACCAAGGGGGATTATAGGAATTAGGGTCCCAAAAATAATTTGTACCCGCTAATACGATCGAAATGAATAGAATTAACTATATGTGTATATGTCTATTTAAACATCACACAGAAAAAAAATTTATAATTAAAATCAAAAGTTTAAAATAAATTCCACCTGAAGCAAACGTATTTAGCTTGGTTTTCAAATGGTCAATCCAGCATGGAGGTAAAGTTTTGATTAAAACTGTACTGCCTCTCTTAATAAAGGTAATGAAATTTAAGGGACTTAATAAAAACAACAATTCCAATAATGTTTATCTGGGGGTGCTGAGTAAGGTCTGCTACAAAATAGTCTATTATAAATTAGTACCTCCGCTACGTATATTATATTCATCCCTGCAATTCCAGACTCTTCTTGATGAGGTACATTGTCTTGCATCCATGAATTCCGGGTGGTAGACGTGGTTGGCCGGTGTAGGTTGTCTGTTTTCTGTTACGTGTAAGTTTTCTGCTGTGGGATATATTGATAAGGTACATTGTCTTGCATCCATGAATTCCGGGCGGAAGACGTGGCTGTCCAGTGTAGCTTGTCTGTTTTCTGTTACGTGTAAGTTTTCTGCTATGGGATACATTGATGAGGTACATTGTCTTGCATCCATGAATTCTGGGCGGAAGACGTGGTTGTCCGGTGTAGGTTGTCTGTTTTCTGTTACGTGTAAGTTTTCTGCTGTGGGGTGCAACTGCATCCCTCCTGGATAAAATACGTCTGATGTACATTGGTCATGAAGGAGTGGTGATGGATTTCGCTGTCTGTATATTGGAAATGCACTTTGGTTCTGCGTAGCACTATACACAGGCACATTTCTCATATCTTCACCATTAAGATGTAGGCACCAAGGATTCAGCTGCCTGTGCTCTAGCATTGGGTTGGATTTAACTGACCACTGCCCCTTTTCAACACCACAACTATAGCATCTCACTATATCCCGATTTCCCGTGTAGTAGAAGCCAAACTCAGCTAATGTTATAGGTCTACCATGGTTGTAAAAGGACCAATTGGCAAAGGTTGCTAATCTTTGCCATTCATAAACCATGCAACCTTCAAAAATGTGTGTGCTCCTTTCTCTTGACATTTGCTGGAAATAAAGACACAAATTAGTTTCATACATTGCGATGGGGGGCGGGGGCAGCAACCTAGCTGAAACGTGTACCAATTTTAACTAATATGGTATCAATGCATGCAAAACTGGTATCATCTGAATATATGTCTGTCCGGTATCTGGTGGTGGGTGTGGCTGTGAGGGCTGTGATTCTGAACATCAATTCTTGAGCTAGTTTAGCACAAAAGTGTACCACATGAAAATGCTTGGAAGTTGTTCAGCACCACCACATGAATCAAGAATGACCAATGCAAGACAGTTTGTGTAGTGGGTTACCCCTGGCAGACACGCCAAGTATACCAAGTCCCAACTAGGCTAGATTTGCCACGCCCCGCAACTAGACTAGATTAGCCTAAGTCCGTACCACCTAAAATTGCACCGTACCATCTGAAGTTGTTCAGCACCACTACAGGGATCATGAATTACCCCTGACAGACACGACCAAAATGCCACGCCCCACAACTAGGCTAGATTAGCTGAAGTCTGTACCACCTAAAACTGGTTGGAAGTTGTTCAGCACCACCACAGAAATCATGAATGACCACTGCCAGACAGTTTCTGCGATGGGGTACCTCTGACAGACACGCTCAAATGTCACGGCCCGCAACTAGACTAGATTATCTGAAGTCCGTACCACCCAAGACTGCTTGGAAATTGTTCTGCACCCTAGGGATCATAATGCCCATTGTTAGGCAGTGTGTGTGGTGGGAATCTCCCAGACTCGACGGCCAGGCCTTTCCTCCACCTCCAAAATATTAGGCTTTATCAGCTGGGGTCAGCCATATTGAGAATTTGGGGTATTGTCTTGGGTTCCTCTGTGCAGGTTTCGTATATTTACAAATCATTGTGTATTTTTGTATGAGTAAATAATTATGTACAAATGTTTGTTAACTAATTTTCCAGACCCCATATGGGTTCTTCCTAATCAATGTTGATTGTATAACATTTTAAACACCCATGAGTGGTATGTCAGTGGTCACTGAGTTGAACCACTACTTTTATTGCCGATGAATGGTATCGTCTATGATTATGGGACCTGGAAAATTAGTTTACAAATATTTGTGCATAAATTATTTACTCAATGGGCATTATAATCTCTGGGGTGCTGAACAAAACACAAAAGCGGTTTATGTGGTACGGACTTCAGCTAATCTAGTCCAGTGTGGGAGTGTGTCATTATTTTCTGGGTGTCTGGCAGGGCACCCACCGCACAAACTGTCTTGTAGTGATCATTTATGATTCCTGTGGTGCTGAACAACTTCCAAGCAGTTTTAGGTGGTACAGACTTCAGCTAATCCAGCCTTGCTGTGGTCTGGCAATTACATTACTCATTGTCACCAGAAATGTCTGTCAGAGTGTTTTGGTAATACTTGGAGATGTAAGGTACACTGCTGTACCATTTTCATGTGTTACATTTCCGAGCTAACTTAGCTCAAGAATTCATGACCAGAATATGCACGCCAGCTATGCATGCATTATATAGGTGAAAATATTACACTTTTCAGATAGCCCCCCCCCCCCCCAAAAAAAAAAAAAAAAAAATGTCATCATAATTATAAACTTTTAAATTAAAAATATAGACAAAAAATTATATATTTTGAAACAAATTTGTACATATACGGTAAAGTAACAATACTCGCCAATTTGTGATTGTACCCCAATCTCGACACCTTGTCCAAGCGTTGCAATTTTCCGAAACTGACCTCGTTTGCATTTATTCAAAGACTGACACCGGAAAATCTTCAAAAACACATTGCTGAATAGAATTATAAATAATGCCTTCTTCTAGCTATGCCAAAGCACAAAAGTTAAGGTGCCAAACCATAAATAAATATATCCAAATATATACACAACTATACCACAATATTCATAATATAACAAGCCTTACTTTCTCACATTTATACTATTAACATCAATGAAAAATCGGCGAGCTGCAGTTGCAATATATATGGACAGATCACCAAATATTCCTACGCCGTCCTACGAAACAAGGGCCAAAGCTATTTTTAGTCTTCCTCTCCCTTTTCCATTTTCCATGGGAAAACGTTAGAGCCGGTCTAAGATACGAGAATTAACATTGGAGTCAATGGGGAAATCTTTAGTGATCTGTGTCCATTTGTATTCTTGCGCGGTTTTCTAACTAAGAGATAGTACATAATTATCACGTGATAATGAAGTTATTTCGAGCTCTCATTGTTATTTTGTCTCACGCTAAGTTACAGATAGGCCAAAAAACCGCACGTCCCCAAGACACAAGACATTTTCCAAACTTGCACTTGAGCAGTATTTTTTTTATGTGGATTGTTGTCTTTTTAAAAATTACCGTTGGCATAGCTACTTATAAACCACATAATGTATTGTGATAAACATCGATCGGTGGTATAAATAATTAATAGATATTGTGGAATAAAATATTTCCTATAAACGACAGTGTGGGTATAATGGGAACATGGAAAAGTAAGGTTAGAATGCACATTAGTAATAAACAATATTAAAAAGTAAGTTTATAAGAAGTAGAATCCGAGTTTGTTTTTAAACCTGATCTCGTATAAATTAAATAAATTAAAGTTTATAAGAAGTAGAATCCGAGTTTGTTTTTAAACCTGATCTCGTATAAATTAAATAAAACTGTGCTGATCTATTTGAACAATTGCAGTGCAATGCTATTGTTATTGTTATTTTATCTCCATGGGCGAATCTAGAGATTATGGAAGGGGGGGGGGGGGGCGCCGAAAGAGTGAAGCGCAAAGCGGGGCGTCCGAGTGGCCTTCCCCATAAAATTTCGAAAACCAGAAGCCCGGAAATGCCGTTTCCAGTGATCCGAGACAAGAATCTGGTGCCCCGTGGATCAAGAAATTGGGCGGACCTGCCCGCCCTTATCTCAGACAAAAGTGCACCTAAAGCTGATGGACTTGTATGTAAATTTGGTACTTACTAACATGCCCGGGGGCTGCCGTTATAGCTTCCAAGTAAATCCACAACATCGTCCAGTACGATGAAGCCTCTGAATGAACAAAATCCACCATTTTATAAGGTAGCATTCTGTCTTCCATTTTACCTCGTTCACGGTAAATTTTGTACCTAAACTGTTTTTATTAAAGCCGGTTAATAATACAGATTTATAGCAAATACACATTCTTTGTCAAATCCAACCATGCACAACATGAACAAACTGGCAATAGATTTCCGAGAACTATATATTTTCCCACTACCCTTGATTTCCTAGAAATTGACGATCCTTACGAAGCTTATCACCCAGTCAATTTATTTGCGTATCTATATAGCCTTTTGTATATTGTTAATGTTGATGTATGATCGTCATATATATAACCTTGTGTAAAAGAAATTGCTGTGGCCTAGATTTCAATTCAGTCTTATGTCATAATGTAGGGTGGCCCACGCACCTACAGAAATACAGTCCACCGCTGATAGTTCGAGACTACCACTGAAGCGTGCACATTCGCCGTGTCGAAGCCAACTTTCTGACAGTATGATACTATAAATAGCCATGGCACGTGCAATTCTCTACAAATCTATCAACTATTACAGCCGTAAAAAAATTATTGTTGACGATTTTGAATAGCAGTGAAATTAAGCTTCTTGGTTATTACAGCAGATTTAGAAATTACGTTCGTTTCATTTTTTAAATCGCTTTATCATTAACTGTACCGTTAAGAGCGGCATCTTTTGGTTTAGTACAAATAATATCTCAGAAACACTCGGGTTAGACAGGAACATGATACTAGCAGTAGTTTCATTTTACTTTTACAAGCTTCTTAAAACAATTGTTGAGCTAGCTAACGTGCTCATTTCTAAATTCAATTTCTTGTTCTAGCTTTCTGTTATGTTTCGTAAAAAAGTAGTCTTGATTATCCCGACCTGTCAATCAGCCCTAGAATGGTCGATAGACTGGTTAAGCGAGACTAATTTCAAAACAAGGGCACGTAACCTATCTTTTACTCAAAAGTGTCTGGATGTTATGGACGACACATGGAACCAGTTTTCAGTCTATTATTTATAGATGATTAATGGTCATAGCTTATTAAGTACAACATGATCGTTTATTTAGTGACTATAATTGTGTGAAACTGATTTGAGGCTTGGCATATATATAAATATTGTGGCGAAATTGTCGAGATATATGGAGATATTTATTTATGGTGGGTCACCCTAATGTCATCATGATCTATCTTCTATATACTAATATTTGTGACTGTCGTTTGTCTGTCTGTCTGTCTGTCTGTTCGGGGTTGGCGGCTACACTAGGTCTGCCCCGAGTCTGAAATTTGGGGTATAGAGGTAGCTCGGACCGGGGAGTAACATAGGCAGGTGGCGTTAGTCTACCACTTCCGGTTTCGGAGTTATGACCCCCGAGCGAAACCGGGTATCCTGCTAGTATATATATATATATAATATAAGACTGAATTGATTGCTGTGGCCCAGATTTCAACCGATCTGGGCGAATGAAGACGGCATACACCATATAGTGTGCTATGAGGGAATGTTACCCGGGCAGTGGCATTATGGCCTGTACTCTTATATAGAATTCCAACTGCCTATAAGGATCTTTTACGTGCATGCCAATGTATACACGGGACCTCGGTTTGTCGTCCCATCCGAACAACTTGACAGCTCTAATCATCAGGCCCTCCGTTCTGCACCACTGATAAGGGGAAACCACATCGGTTAGTCCCGATGAACACCCGACCTCTTTTTTTTCTTGAGAAAATTTTATTCAGGTACTAACACAACATAAATATACAGTACATCCGATTACATGTTTTAAAAGACCATTCAGTCATTATAGTACAGTATATCAGATATACAGATGTACGCTATATTACATTAGCAATCACTTTCCAGACACACAAAATTAATATACATGTATATAAAATATAGTACCATTAACAACATAAAGATATTTACAATATAAACACAGTGGACTACACTCGTCTATAGCTGTCAATCTCGAAACTTGGCGAAACCGTTTAGAGTCTAAAAGCTAGTTTCAATATTTTAAAATAATAATAATGAATCGATACATATAGATCCATTACTTTCATAAATAAATAATAATAGCAAAATAAGCTTTTTAATAAAATTAAAATTATTTTTCTTATTGTACTGCCTTACATCATTAATATATTTAAATATTGTTACAACGTGAATTTCTATAGTGGTAGTACTGTCAAGGGAATTCAAGTATCATGAATTTAAGACTTTATAATATATTGTTTTAATATTTTTTTCCTACAATACTTAGGGAAATCTGTATGAATGATATCTAAAATAGTATGAGGTGCACTGTTAGAATTTTTGGGTCGGACCGACCCAATGATATTGGGTTAAAGGCATCCGACCTAAAATAATACTAGTCAGAAATTTTAGGTCAACCGTTTTTGACCCAAAATATTGGGTCAATGGCATCCGACCTAAAATATACTAGTCAGAAATTTTGGGTCAACCATTTTTGACCCAGAATATTGGGTCAATGGCATCCGACCTAAAATATACTTGTCAGAAATTTTGGGTCAACCATTTTGACCCAAAAATATCATGTTGGCACTTTTTTGGGTGGCTATCCGACCCAATCTCGTTGTGTTAAAATTTTGTAGATTAGAATTAGTGGTCAGAATTTTGAGTCAACCATTTTGACCCCAAAATATCATGTCGCCACTCTTTTGGGTCGCTAACCGACCCAATCGTTCTGGGTTAAAGTTAGCACCATGCGATGCATAGGCTTACCTCACCTGTACACTTTCACTTTCACATTTAATTTTTGTGTCTGTTAAGATTTATTTAATGAAAGCCGTGATCACATTTTACTCTTTACATAGGCCTGTTCAATCGACCTGGACCAGAGTAAGGCCCTTTCACGGTTGTTCAATTCAAATAGTTTTAAACGCTATCTCAACAAGCTGACAGATAGGCCTGTTCAATCGACCTAAGAGTAAGACCTAAGAAGAGTAAGAGTAAGACCTATTCACGTTATTCAATTAGTTAACGCCATCTTCAACAAGTACGGTATCTTGAAGTGAATAGCCTCACTCACTGGGCCTAGCAAATAAATAGAAATCTTAGCAAGTAGGCTATCTGATAAGTGATATTACTTCTTGTATACATTTTCAGACCAAGACTAATAGCCTGAAGAGGTGGATGGTGAAGTAGTCTGCTCCTTAACACGAGGATGAACCCGGTCGCTATCATCGCCACCCACGCCCTTACTTGCATTTGGGGGGTTGGATGGCCGAATGGTTAGCATGTGCGCGCTGTATCATAAGGCCTGTTATTGAGTCAACTGGCGTGGTTTCGAATCCCCAGTTGTACGTGACAAGGAGTAGGGTCGCCTGTCCAACCTCGTGGGTTTTCTCCGGTCCTCCAGTTTCCTCCCACTGCTAAAGACCCCTACTCGCAAGCGAATTATTGAAAGAAAATCAAACCATATGTTAGTCCCGAAGTGACCTAGTTTGTGTCGAGTTGACGTTAAACCCCATCTCTCTCTCTCTCT